TCAGCCCACCTAGAGACGTAGTCAACAGCAACCAGAATATAAGTGTTACCAAAAGATGGAGGGAAGGGGCCCATGAAGTCGATACCCCAGACATCAAAAATTTCACAAGTGATAAACACATTCTGGGGCATCTCATCACGGGCAGAGATGTTACCTGACCTCTGGCATCGGTCGCACCTGCGTGCGAAGGCGTCTGCATCCTTGAAGAGCGTGGGCCAGTAAAAGCCCGACTGGAGCACCTTCCTCGCCGTGCGGTTTCCTCCGTGATGACCGCCAGTAGGTCCCTCATGACAGTGAACCTCAGGATTCAACGGCAGTAAACCTCCCGACTGACTACGGGTCATGCACTAGCTGCACACAATCAAGCAATGCAAACCCGTGAAGGCACAAGTGGGAAGAACAAAAACTCAATGCAAAAATGAAAATGCTAAAGTAACAGAAATCACTTTTCTTCAACAACCTAGCCGTCCCCGGCAACGGCGCCAAAAACTTGACTCGCTGTTACTGTCACTCTAGAAAATGGCCAAGTGCAACCACTTCCTAAAGCGTAGTATAGCGGGTTTGGGTTTTATTGTCAACCCGGGTCCTAGATGTGATGACTACTCGGTGAATTCTTGTTATTTAGCGGTGAACTTTTAGTGCAACTCAAGCAAACAAAACACAAAGCAAGTAAACGGTTTGTTGTCAAGTCAAGAGAGGTCACCCGGATATGGATCCCCCTAGACTGCAGTTAAGTCGGATTGTAATTACCAAGTTCAGTTTTCATGAAAGTTATACTGCGGAAGGTTCTCAATTAGCCTGAAGTCTCGACTAAAGGTCTCCAGACCCTCTCAATCTGAGTCTCTAGCGGGCGACTAACCTCCACCGGAGTAAACAGATTGAGGCCCTAATGAACCAAACCTCCACTACCGAATTAACTTCGGTACAGAATAGCGAATTGGCTCCTCGACTAAAGTCACCAATTCGCCACCTTCGATTAAGGGTACTCTATCAACCTAGGCAGATATTCTCATTCCAGGTCAAAGCAGAAGCAACAGGAATTTGATCAGGATTCAAGTCATTCAATCATTCAAACCTCAATCGAATATAATCAATTCACAAACTCTTTACTTGGGTTCATACAATCAAACCTAGCATACAAATCTAGGGTTCCCCATACCCAGATGAATGGGGAAACTACTCCATAGAGAAAGAAGCAAAAGCAGATTCAGACGCGGAAATCATACTGTGAAGTTGGATTTCTGCTCCTGGACGTTTAATCGCACTTCTCCAAGCTCAAGACGGGCTCCAATGGTGTTGAAGATCGATCTAGGGCGCTTGGGAACTCTGGTTCGTCGCTTTCTCTCTCTAGGAATCGATTTCTCTCTCAAAAACTCGGAACCCCTTGAAAATTGGCCTTCTTCCTCTTTTATCAGCTGCCCTCGCGATACCCGGTCGAAATACCCGGTCGGGTATTTCATGGTTCGACCGGGTATTTCATAAAACGCGTCGTTCCACTTTTGGGAAAATCCCCGGTCCAACATCAAAAACCCCGACCGGGGATTTAAGGCCATCGCCCGGGCCCCCTTCTGTTTCTCACGGGTACCCGAAGGGAAAAATACCCGGTCGAGGCCAGAATATACCCGGCCGGGTATTTCTTCCTTTGACCGGGTATTTTGGTCCAGCAGCATCCTTTATCCCATCTTCGCTCCTTTCGACCCGGAACTCGTTCCTTCGCCTCGATTCCAACGCCAGGACCTGAAATATGACATAAACACACAACCTAGCGTGAAATCGGCTTAAAACACGAGATTCCTCATCACAAACGGCTTCAAAATAGGGGTGTAAACATGTATAATTATCGATCTATCAGCTACAGAGCGGGTGGAAAGGGGAAATAGAATAGGGTTTGGGATTTTCACAAAAAGGCTACAAATTCACCTTTATTAGTTGTTCTGGGCGTCGCCCACCAAAGTGAAACCGTGTCTCCGAGTGCCCAGGTGCCTAGATCAATCGCCCAGAGTTAGACTGGGCGATTTCCTCCTGCCCAGCTATTAATCGCGCCTAGGCGAGAGATTAATCGCGTCTTCTTGAACACTGAATAAAAGTGGACCAAACAAAGACATTGCATCAAACTCATTTCAGTTCCATCTTAACACAGTATCGGAGGCATGTACTATTATTATACAAATGATCTTACGCTCTCAATTAGGAACTAAACGAAGGTTAAATGCTTGATTGGCAAATCGTGCTTAAATGAACCTAGTGATCTTTCCTATTTCCAATTCAAGAAGAAATGGAAATGGAATTCTATTTCCAATTCCTATTTTTATAGAATTCCATTTCCAATTTTAGTGTTTGGTATAATTCCTCCAACTAAAGAAATGAATTGCACTTTTAACAATAATTAATAATATAATATATTTATTTTATCTTGGGAAATGAAATATGAATGATAGAGAAAGAGAGTAGTGTGATAGTTGGTTAATAAAATAATAATAAATAGTGATGGGACCCACTAATTCCATCTTCATAAACACAATTCCTATCACTTTTGATAGGAATTGTAATTCCCAAAACTTAGCCCAAATGGAATTCATTTCTCAACCTTCTTATCCTTCCAAACATAAAATATGGAACTGGAATTGAAAATGGAATTCCAATTCCTGAGTTTTTGTCTATCCAAACAGGCTGTTAAAGAAAAAATTAATGATCACATGATTTCTTGGACCAAACTACTAAAGGAAAAAAAGAAAAAAGAGACCGTACATCAGCATAAGAACTCAACAAATTACTTATAAGAACTAATGACATAAGGAAAATGTAAACTCAAACCGTTCTTCCGAAGGTCATGGATTAAATCATTAGTTGTCAATTACATCTAAACTGCAAGTTATATCCAAAATATAGGCAATTTAGAAATAAAAAAGTTAGATAAGAAAGCCGTGAAACACAGAAAAATTTAGTGAACAAAGTGGGAAGTATTGCTTTCAATTAAGCTTGATTATGTTAACATAAAGCAGGCACACATTGACGTTGGAAACCTAAACAAAAAGCCTAAAAAGTGGCAAGAGAATTCTTCCCTTGAGATTCAAATATAGCCTACCTATATGAGCAGAGCCAAGTAATTACCATGATTCCATTTTACACATACCATCTCACAACCAACTGTTGCTAATGCTCTGGTCCGTTCCAAACCTCACCTGCTCATATCTCCAATACCATATCACGAAACCAAGAATTATACACAACTAAAAGATCCAATAAGGAGAGTAACTTAGCATGGAACTTTGTGATGGGGGCAAATTCTATGGTCAGTATTAAGCTGTGCAAATTATATCACCTCCTCCATTTTACCTCTGCAAAGCTCACTACTTCCAGTAGTTTCTCACAGAACCAGCTACCGTCCTAATCCCTTCCTTCCTTCCCAGGGCCAGAGTGTGAAAAATGGCGTCCATCTCCGCCACAACCACAGCTTCTTCCTTCATCCATGCATCTCTCCGTCGCAACCCCTCTCTAGGGGTTTCCTCCGCCCCAGTTCTCGATGAGTACTCTTGACGCCCCCTCCCCTGAAATTCACAATTACCTCTGGCTTTTATCAATTCAGCTTGGGGGAACCAAGAAATTGAATCGATTGGGTGATATGCAGGGCTGCCGTCAATGGTGAAGAGAGGGAGAGTGGTGAAGTGCTCGGCAGAAGGAAACAGAAGCAACGGCAGCGGGTGGGAGAAGAAGGGGATGGTGCGCACTTCGCTGATGGCGGCGGTGGCCGCAGCAGCTGCGTCGAGCCCAACGGCAATGGCTCCTCAACGGATGCGAGTAGCTGGAGCGATTTGTAGCGACCTTCTAGAGGCTGAAGCAGAGAAGAAAGAAGAAGCAGGGTTCGTGGCGGCGGGGGAGACGGTGGTGGCGGCGGCAGTAGTTGTGCTTCTCGCCGGAAGGGAAAGTCTCGATCGTCGACAACCTCTTCGGCATGGAGATCGTTCGCTGCACTCCCAAACGCGATCTCCCCAGTCGCAGCAGAAGCGGGCCGTCACTGCTTTCCGCCACTGACCACCAAAACGTCTGGTCGTCTTCCCATGAACTCAGCAACAGCCGGCCGTCAGCGCCTTCCTCCGCTGAACACGAAACCGTGACGCCCTCTTACCAGAATTTTCCGATGGAAACTTATTCTCCTCCTGTCCTGCGGGTAGGCGAAAGGATAACGTGGGAACACAGTAGAAAAGGTGGGCTTATTTCAGCCAAACGAAAATTAAATGAAAAATAAATAATAACTAAATGATAACGTGGGAAACCAGGAGAAAAAGGTGGGTAGTGGACGATTCTTAGTTCTGCAATCTGGCGGGGAGTTCTATTTTTTTCCCGCTCAACACCCTGCCACGTCAGCTTCCTAAAATCACTCTATGGACAGGAAAATTTGAATGGGGGTGGCAGTTTTACTTTTCAGCTATAAATTATACGGTTGATTTAATTTTTATTTTTTAATTATTTTTTATTTGCCACATCACACATTTAACGGTCAACTGTCAGAGTTGACCGCCACGTCAGTCAAAATTAACGGAGGTTAACGGAGAGTGACCGAACTTGAACTGTTCAACTAATTCGGGTGACTATAAATGGAATAAATTAATTTGAGTGGCAAACGTGAAATTTTATAGCAATTCGAGTGACCAAACTTGCAATTAAGCCATTTAAATTCTTATGTGTACACATTTTTCAGCAAGAATGATTTAAAATCGAGCTCATCTTGAGCCGAACTTATACTTAGCTTGACAAACTGTGTTGATGAGCATTTAGAGAGCTCAAACAACTCCGTAATCATTTGAGGGCTTGAATTCTCTATAGCAAGGGTGAAAGCTGCACAGCTTACAAATCTAACTCATCTCATCCTGTGTGCAATTTTACTTGAGGACCCGAAATTCCAAACTCGAAAACCTGTACAACAAAATGGCATGGACAAAAACTTCATATATTACTGCAAACTGCAGAAGACATGTGGAGTTGCATCTGCATCAAGTTCTTCACATCATCCCTCGACTCTTCCTTATTTCGGTGGAAGAAATATCCATGCGGAACATCTCAGCTGGTATCGGCACAAACATGTCCTTCAACTCCTCCGGGATCTCCAAGTCCCCAAGAACCTTAGTAGTAAACAAAGAAAGCTATCTTTATATGATAACAGCAACATCAATTGGTAAACAAAGAGAGGTCTCAAATTCTGGCAGAAGCTGCAAGTTAGTTAGTCACTGTACCTTGAAAACACCATCGGTGCTTCGACCACCCACAAGAAAAGTGCAGCCTCTTGCTTTGCATGCTCCAAGGATCTCAAGCATCTTTTCATAGCTTCCATCGTAATACTTGGGCTGCAAAAAAGAAGACGACAAGCAAGGCCGAGAGTAGATCAATCAAAGTTGCATCAGATGGCTTTCTGTTCTGTACAACCCAACAAAGTGTAGCAGTATTAGATCAAGTGAAAATTGCAGTAGAATCCAAAACAAGCTGGAGACAAGTAGCATACATTTATCAACCTTGCTGCTGTATCAGCACCAATGACAAAAGCACTGCCAGGGAAGAGCTCAGCCTTCTTATAAAAATAGGGCTGGTTAGAAATTATTACAGTTTTGCCTGTCATCAAAAGCTACAACTCAGACACAGGTCATCTCAGTACCGAAAAGTAAAAAGGCTCGTGAGATCCTGTGCAAACTCAGAAGGGAACATATCATCATCGTGTAAAGAAAGTTCAAATGGCTCACCAACTCTTTCAAACTGCTTCACCCGATCTTTGATTTGGGAGACAGTGAGGGGAGGTTTGTCTGCGTTTATCGCTGATATTTCAAAGCATGGATAGCCGTTGCCACAAATACTACATAAAAAAGTTTTAAGAAGTCAGACGACATGGTATTTGCTCTAATAAGCATCGGCATAACATAAACGTCCAAGAGCTGATAAATGCCATTTCAAGATGTTCAAATTTTTAATACATTATGGAAACATATCCAGCTACCTAGTAGCAACCTCCAGAAGCTTGAGGTGACCATCATGCAAAGGGTTAAAAGAACCAGGAAGTATGATCTTCCTCTCACCATTTGGCGAATCTGGCCAGCATAACAATCATCAGGAAAAAATATTAGGAAGATCAAATTACCACGATGAGTCTGTTGAACCTAAGGATTCCACCTGCAAATGGGTATATCTTGAAGCATATTTGACCATCTATAACTTGCTGTAGCTCTTCATCTTCTGTGAAATGTTTTTCATGTTCATCCAATGAGTCTGATTCAGATAAGGGAGAACCAGATGTTTGTTGGACAACTTTGCAAGCTTTTGACAATGCCTTATTGTTAAGACAGGGAAGAAGTTTCAATCAGGGACTGCTGACAAATGTAAAGCCACATGGAGACATATATCCAAGGAACTCTAATCTGTGTTGCAATGTTTTCACATTCTTGTGTACCTTCAGTAAGAATCGACTTGAAACTGTATCTTCCTGCTCTCGAGTTCGCATTCCCTATATTAAAACCACATTGCACACCAGAATCGATAAACCATGCAACGAAGAGTCACAGCATTACTTGAAGAGTACCACAACTACCTTTGACAATGTAACTGTTGACGCGTAAAGTCGGTTAGATGATCTTGTGGATAAATGAAACCTGAAAAGAAGCCACCGAGCTGCATATATCAAAATCAGATACATGTAGAGCCAAGCAATGCTTTCTGAAAATAATACCTGTGATCCCCAAGTTTTGGACGTGAACTTGCAAGAGATCCAGTGAAACCCACACCAACAACAGGAGCACCTGTGATAGGAACAATTGGGTTGACATAAATAGACTACCTCCCTACTCCAGACATGTAAACAACCTTTCTGTTCTGATATTATAGCAGCAGCATTGCAGTTGGTTAAATATAGTGAAGAATGTTGGTGAAGAAGAATCATTACCAGGGGAAGAGAGCTTAAGAGCCCGATTGTAAGCCAACAAAGCCATCTCCTCCGCTGTTTGCTGGCTACAGTAACTTGCAGGAATCTGAAAGAAGAGAAACATCACATGGCTGGTTTTAGAAATCTGAAACCCAGAATAAAAGGAAGGAAAAAGACCTAATAGATAGAGTGCTCGGGAGTAAAAGAAAAACCTTTCCGAGTAAATCAACCATGGAGACTCTCGAGTATGGCACCAGAGCTTCAAGGACTGTAGAGGTAGCTCCGGGGAAGGACATCAACAACCCGAGACTCTGATCATCATCATCCGAAGTCAAAATTTAACCAGACAGGAAGAGAGAGAAAGAGAGAAGTTTCAGGAAGAGATAGAGCGAGAGACCTGAGACGCGCCGCCGGAGAGATAAATTACGGCCTGAGAAGGGGTAGAGTGGATGGCTTCAACGACTGCTCGAATCCAAGCTTCCGTCATTTTCATCTGACCTTTCCCTCCTTCGTTCATTCCAATTTTCCTTTTGTCCTCTCTTCCTTCTCTTAAAGTTTTTAGTTTTTTACAAACTTTTGTACCAAACGTGGGCCTATAATTATCAAACTATAACACTGTACGAAGTGTTGGCTGTGGCACTTGGCATTGACCAACAGCAGCGGCCCATTTTCTCCCCACAAAAGAACAGAAAGGACGAGGATAGCAAGAAGAGAGCAGGGGATTCCCCGCGCAAAACCACTTGGGTGGCGGGAGACGGAAGAATTCATAGGCCGGCGGTCACCGAGCTTTGTGCTGTCCGGCGGGGGAGATGGGGAAGAAGCAGCACTTGGATTGGACAGCCAAATCAATTTCCTCCACTGGCTCCGAGAGAGTGTCCCTCTTATCTAAGCAGGTTTGCAGCTCGCTTTCTTTGTAGGCTATGATTAACGAAATTGAACGATTAAACAGGTGATTTATGAGAGAAAGTGAAATTGATATAGGGAAAGAGAAAAGCTAGTGCAGAAGACCATTCTGATGACGCCCCTGCAAGTGATCTTGAGCATGGAGCCGGGGAGGTAACTAAAGGCTCTTCCTTTTTCATTTTTTTTTTTTTCCTTCTCTCGCTCCAATTCTTTCGCATTTCTGGCAAAGCTACTAACTTTTGTTTCTGGGTTCAGGCGGCGAATGTTGGGTTTGGTCGAGTTCTTTCACTGGTAAGAAACCCATCTCCACTTAATTATGATGATATTTCTTTCCCACTGTAGTGACTGTACTAGTTATCTCTCAACTGCTGCATTATTACTTTGCAGGCAAAACCTGATGCTGGGAAGCTAGTCATTGGCACCATAGCCTTGTTGATATCATCCACCTCAAGTCTTCTTATTGTAAGTCTTTGATGCTTTTCTTCGAACCACGCTGCCTCTGTGAGATTTATTGGAGTGAGTTAGATAGAACTTTCCATTTGTTTGATAGCTGGAGACTACTAGTTTGAATTTTTGAATTTCACTGCTCAGCTGTTTTCTGGGATGTTGATACCTTTTAACACACTGTGAACTACTTACTGCAGCCAAAATTTGGTGGAATCATAATTGATGTAGTATCAAGAGACGTAACAACCCCGGAACAGCAAGCAGAAGCTCTGGATGCAGTCAAGAATACCATATTAGAAATATTTCTCATAGTTGTGATTGGGTATGTCACAGCGTTGTTCTCGACTTTCCTTGTTTAACTCGTAGCTTATATAGGTGGTGTTGGGCTGTTGGCTCAATACTGGTTTTACTGCAATTTCACATACAATACCATTTTGGCACTTGTCAAGGGGTATTGCTGATATGGAAAAGGAATCAGCTGCTTAGAAATCTATACAACTGAGCAGCTAAGGTTGATCATGGATGTTGATAGCTTTTGACACCTATTACCATGGCTGTGTTTCTGAAGGTTCTTACTTATGCCTCTTAGAGGTCTTGTTAATTGGTGTTTCCCTCCTAGTTCTCAGGTCTATTTGCACAGCAATTAGAGCGTGGTTATTTGCTTCTGCGAGTGAAAGAGTTGTGGCTCGTCTGAGAAAAGATTTATTCAGCCATGTTCTCAATCAGGCAAGTTGTTTGTCAGCTGAAGTGACATCCTGTGAATGCTTATTTCGTGTTCTACAAGCTACTTACCTGCATTTGACCTTAACATATGAGTGTATACGTAATCAACTTTTATGTTAGTTATTCACAATAATATTTTTTCTTGCTGCCATGGAACAACAGGAAATTGCCTTCTTTGATGTTACAAAAACAGGCGAACTTCTAAGCAGGCTATCAGAAGACACTCAAATTATAAAAAGTGCAGCAACAACTAATCTTTCTGAGGCACTGCGTAATGTAACAACTGCACTGATCGGTGTTGGTTTTATGTTTTCATCATCATGGAAGCTAACATGTAGGTAATCTCGGTAAACCTAAAGGAAAGTGTTCTATCTATGTGATGCTTTTCTTAAAAGAAATACTCTGCTGAGCTATGTTTTGGTTGTGTTGCAGTATTGGCTCTAGCAGTGGTGCCTATTATTTCTGTGGCTGTAAGAAAATTTGGACGCTATCTTCGTGAACTCTCACATTCTGTTCAAGCTGCAGCTGCTGTTGCTGCTTCAATAGCTGAGGTTTGGAAGCACCACCTATCTCTTCTTTTTCTATTCCACTAGTCTAGTAACAGATTTATCTCCTGTCATAATATGATGTATATTGAACTAATTTCTACTAATGTAGGAATCTTTTGGAGCTATTCGAACAGTTAGATCTTTTGCGCAAGAAGGATATGCAATTTCTCATTATTCAGAAAAGGTTGATGAGACACTGAAGTTGGGACTCAGACAAGCCGTAAGTCTTACTCCATCCCATTTCTCCCAAAAATAAGCTTTACAGATGTGATGGTCATAAACTGTTTCCTCTCGCTTTTGTCTCCAGAGAGTAGTTGGCTTATTTTTCGGAGGACTGAATGCAGCATCCACGTTGTCAGTCATGATAGTTGTGATTTATGGAGCATACTTGACAATAATGGGCAACCTGACAGCAGGCGCTCTTACGTCTTTTATCCTTTACAGCCTCACAGGTTAAGATGCACCAGGGCACTCGATTCTTTATTTCTCAAACTGAAACAAGCATTCCAACCTACTTTTGTTTTATTTATCAGCTTATATATGTGTCAAATAACTTGTAGTTGAGACTGTAAAAAAAACTTGTAACTGATATGCATTAGGCATTGTATTGACTCATTTTTTTGTCAATTTTTGTGTGCAGTTGGCTCTTCAGTTTCTTCTTTATCAGGGTTGTACACAACTGCAATGAAGGCTGCAGGGGCAAGTAGGAGAGTCTTTCAGCTGTTAGATCGCGTCTCAACCATGCCAAAATCTGGGGATACTTGCCCTATAGGGTTAGTTTTTTGTGTGTCTTTGTTACTGTCTTCTGATTCATTGCGCATAACTCTAACCAAAGGAATCAGCTTGAGCAAAGCTCAGACACAATTTAGTTGGTACTCGCAATGCCTCCTTTATCAGAATTAATCTTACACCAACTCTGTTAAGTGGTGCCAGTGATCCTGATGGAGAAGTAGAACTGGACGATGTTTGGTTTGCTTATCCTTCGCGTCCAAGTCATATGGTGCTCAAGGTAACTGATTCTCTCAATGGTTAGCAATGGAAAGAGGTTGCAATATTACGATTATATCTCATCAAAATGATACCTCAAGTCCCAAAAGGTTTCATTATAGCAAGATAATTTTGACGTTAAAATTGTATGTTTGAACTGTAGGGCATATCATTGAAACTGAAACCGGGAGCAAAAGTTGCTCTTGTTGGTCCAAGTGGTGGTGGCAAGGTATAATACCCATTCTGCATTTGCCACTATCAAGTCATCTAGTCCCAGTATCGAGTGACTTATTGCATGAACTGTCATGGATACCGATTTTTGTTACATGCCAAACCTAGTTTGCATTTGTTTAAAGATTGCTTCTTTGGGTGTCATCTTACTGCAGACCACAATAGCAAATTTGATTGAAAGGTTTTATGACCCACTCAAAGGGAGCATTTCGCTGAATGGAGAGCCATTGGTTAATATATCACATGAGTATCTTCATAGAAAGGTATTATATTTGTTCTTTATGGTATGACGAATGACAAATTCACGCTCTTTTTCTCTCTATGAGATTCACCGTCTCATATCTACCTGACCTTTCCGTGTTCGTGGGGGATGCAGGTTAGTATAGTAAGCCAGGAGCCGGTACTTTTCAACTGTTCAGTGGAAGAGAACATTGCTTATGGGTTCAGTGGCAAAGCTAGCCGTGCTGAGATAGAAGCCGTAGCTGTGAGTAATTTACCGTCTTATCTGGTTCCTTAATGGTCTTTTTAATCATATGAGGAAATCACTTACAAGACACTCTGGTGCAGAGATTGGCCAATGCGCACGAGTTCATAGACAAATTTCCTGACAAGTACGAGACAGTAGTAGGTGAACGTGGGCTGAGGCTGTCCGGTGGTCAGAAACAGAGAGTGGCGATTGCGAGAGCATTGCTGATGAACCCAAGAGTGCTGCTGTTGGATGAAGCTACAAGTGCTCTTGATGCAGAGAGCGAGTACCTTGTTCAGGTAAGTTCTCAATTCAAGTTGTCTTGACATTGCTTTCATTTTACCTTTGCCACTCATCTGCAGTAATGTATCTTTCCTTTCGCGTTGTGGGATAAAGGATGCTATGGATTCACTGATGAAAGGAAGGACAGTGCTTGTGATAGCACATCGACTTTCGACAGTAAAAAGTGCAGACAGTGTGGCGGTGATATCAGAAGGCCAGATCGCAGAGAGGGGGACACACGATGAACTCTTACTCGATAATGATGGCATCTACACTGCACTTGTGAGGAGACAGTTACACCAAGGGCAAGTATCCTCCTCAGCGTCTACTTCCTCATCATCACCCTAGTGATCTCAAATATGAAACCATACAAGTATTTCCTTGAGTTGGCAAGATCATTGGAAACACAATCCTTTTCCTCCATGTATATGAAGTATCCTCGTGGAGAGTAATGTATAGTTGTGCAATGGACCGTGACACTGGCGAATGTATAGCTAGATGGAACTCTTGAAGGTCTTTGAATAGCTAGGGCCTAGGAACCTTGAATGTCCTATTCGAATATTGCCAATTTGCCATGTCAAATGATGTTGGCTCCAATATCACCAATCAGTGACATGAGCTGACTCACTTCCACGTATGAGTAAATGTCACTTCTGCTATACTACAAATTGTTCTCAATATATCACTACAAGAGGATTTATGTTGGGAATCATACGGCTGGTGACAAACGTTAGGGATCGATAGAGACGTTAAATGATCGACAGGTGATACATACAATACAAATGATCCAACTAAGTCCTGAAATTGTTATTTCTCAAACAGAACAGCAACGACTACAGCATCAAAATTTTGCTCCAACACTTTCAGTATGATGGCCGAATTGAAAATCTTAAGCTCCCCTTTCCAACCATGTCTGAATAAAAAACAAGATCCAACATCTCAAAACCCCAAGTTTTCTAGTGTCTCCCTACCGAGTTGCCACGCCTTGCGCTGCCTGTTGCACTCCATCTTCAACTATCTTGTTAGCTTGGATGGTATTTATCACACTCGCAATATTTTCCTGCAAAAAATTGCACATGTAATCTCATAAGCCACTAGCACCTGACAGTGACGACTAGCAAAACGTCAAGAAGAGAGACTCGGAAATGTAGGACACGAGCATTTTTTGTTATTACCCTCCAAGTTGCAAGCTTCTCCCTAAGTTCTTGCCACTGGTGCTGCCCAAAGACGCGCTCACTGCAGCGGCTGCATATGTACCGAAAGAGTTGAAGACTAACAGGCAATAGTGAAATTGTGCGTATAACATATAAAAATTAAAGATAAATACCTCACGAGCACCACTTGATTCATCTGGTCCATTTTACAGTCAATCAGCTTGGCAGTTATTGCCTTTACTACCCATAATTCTACCTCATCATCACTAACCTGGAATGACGTGAAGCAGAAGAATTAGAAAACCAGGTCAAGCATAAAACTTGGTCGAGGACAATGTCATAGGTCGATTCAGATTTACCTGAAGAGTATCCTTGATAAGAGCATATGGGATTTTCCTAGATGGGGTTGAGGCGAGATCCACTAATGACATCAACTTCATCTTTGTTATACAATCCTCGTGAACAAGGTCTGGAGCACACAAAGACTCATAAGTTAGAACTGAGTTTACTTCCCAAAGATCAAAAATCAGGTTTCACTTGTTTGATTAAGGCGAAGTTAAAATCTTACTATAGGTTTCTAGCAGGGCAGTATTCGCATCTTGGAACTCCAAATAGGAATCAAGCCTCTGAGTTAAAAATATCTTCAGTAGTTGATATACCAATGCATAAGTGGCGTCATTTTCCAACTGCACAACAGCTGGCATATCTAACAGCTCACACTGCAACCGCCCATGAAGAATCATATTATCATACAGGTTCTTGCAAAAAGGTACATGAATTTAACCCCATAAAGATTAAACCCATGCATTTATATGCAAAAAAAAATATATATACATAAAGCTCAGAAACATTCACGTACAAGCTAAACAGAAGCACAAAACCATAGTGTATAAAAGATCAGTAAGAAACTTCAGAATTTGGGAAAGGTCAAGAATGAAACATAGTTACACTAAACAAAACATGTTCAAACAAACTGAGGTTCCATGAGGTGCAACACTAAACTTTACCATCTTTAAAGTTGAATGTCTATCCCATAGTTAGACCTTAGGAGGTGTTCAATATCTCTTTTAAACCTCAATAGTTGCATCCCTTTTATGCCACATGCTTACTCAGACCTAATCCTCAAACAATAACCTGATATTGGCAATGCTCTAATAATGGCATCCCTTAAGCAAGCAACGTTTCCGTATCCACCAAGTGGGCCCATTTTTTCTCTAGAAATTAAAAGAAGTATGGTGTTTGGTACAAGTGGAAAATACAAAATGAAACTTATAGTGAAGGTGTTAAGCCTCAGCATAAAATCACACCAGACATTATTCTCTATACTCAAGTGATTCGGAGAACTATACAAATAATCAACCCATTAAACAGCATGAACATCCCAATTTGTACCTGAAACATGTCAGGCGCTTTCACAAATTCAATAATGGCACGGACAGCTTCCTCCTTGGCTTCAGCAATCGCAATTGCATCCTCACCGGAGAAAGTTGCCAAATACTTTGTCAGGAATTTAAAGCCATCCTTAGCTGAGCTGCAACAAAAAATGAAGCATGGCCAGAAATGAACAAAACATCACACTTCTCCAGATGGTTAAGTGATATATATCAGACAGCAACACAGTACCTTTTACTGTCTTTGAGCGCATTAGAGATGGCAAGATAGAGCTCTCTCCTATCCTTGACATCAAGATTCCATTCTTTCAAGAAACCATCTATCTTCTTGAGTGATGGTATTATGTGATCAGCAACCTTCCCATTCAATGCTAAAGTCAAGGCCTTCATATAGACAGAGAACCGTGCATATGGATCCTCCAGAAGATTGTACAGATTGAACAAGCTGAAAAGTAGTCTTTCATGAGATACTAACAACAAAAAGTACGTGTTATCAAATCAACATGACACCTTGACATACATCTTTAAGCGCAGTGTAGGCTTCTCAGTTGGCTGTTGAACAATCTTTGCTGATATCAGCTTAGCCATCTCAAGAGCTTCACTCGGGTTTTGAGACTTCGTGACAAGGTTGCAAATAACAGTGAAGATGCATTCGAGGTCTGGAACAAGGAAGACGGAAACATATACTTCGTCATTGAAATAAGCAAATGGGGCAGCTATTGATAAGTATTCTGATATAAATGATTGCTTCTTCTTTTACAAAAGCATTCTGAACCAACACACTTGCACACCCTCTAATATGACTGCTACCTAATATAAACCACAACATCGCGCAACCATTTGACTTTTAAGGGCACCCAGAGAGGTCGAAATGATAGGACAGGAAAAACGAGAAGTGACAAGTAAGTCCATGAGGCCCTGTCATCTATTGCCCGCAGAACTCCCCACCTCATAGATATGACTCCCGAGCAACTTACAAAGAATTCGTAGTTGCACTAAGTTATCAACACAACAATTCAAGCAGAGTCTTGGCAGGCTTGAAATTAAGTACTCTCCCAGCAGAATATGGCACTAAGTTATCAACACAACAATTCAAGCACGATTCATAGATGCCATCGTGATTCATACAAAGTTCAGATACCATGAACAGTAAGTTCATCCACACACACTAGACCAGGCGTCTACTAATTAACCTCCTTTAGTATCATCCCAAAAATTGCAAAGTCCAATTACAACTAATGTAGAATTTGATAACACTACATAGAAGAAGAAAGTTGCACCTTTCTCTGACACCTTGGCATTGGAGAATAACAAGTCAGCTGAAGTTAGCATCAAGGAAGCCAAGTCCAACCATCTTCCTACCACCATGCATTCCTGGGCCTCCATACAAAGCCTGGTAACTTGTGGTTCCGCAACCTGTAAAGAAAGGTATAATTGATCAAGCAACTACCTTTACTGGCTGCAAAATAGAGCTGATAGTACTAAATAGAAAACTGTACAGGACGCTACGAATGGATTATTCCCCCTTCAAATTTTTTTGCAGTTTTCTAACATTACCTAAGAATGGATGAAATTCACGAAATAAAGAAGGATTTACAGTTCACGACATAAGCCAGCAACCATCCGAACATCTCAGCAGGCATAGGCAACATTATAGACTACTAAGAACAGCAGAAAATTGAATTAACGAATTGGATTATGGATTCAGGAGAGACCAGTCACCAGCCAATCAAATTTCCCAAACAAAGAATTTAAGGACGCCCACGGATACAAGCTAGAATAAAAAGCGTTTGCGATTACGCTTGTACATACAAATAGCTGTATAGATGTGAATGTACCTCGGGACCAGCATCAGCCCAGGCAAGGTCGGAGGTGAAGCGGACAACTGCGAGTGCGGGATCTTCTTCAGAGGTTGGGACGATGGTAGCCATTGCCGGAGGAGGGGAATATCTGCAACGCCGACACCGTAGACGTTTGTGCGGGCGATGCAGAGAACGGGGAAGAGGGAAAGCGAAGAGCGGGGACGAACCAAAAACCCTAGCTAGTATCAGTAACCAGACGCAGAAGCTGCGGCAACCAATAAGGACTGAGGGCAGTTACGTCTTTGACCCCAACGGCGGCGTATAGGTGAATTCTTTTTTTCCCCGATAATCGTAAAGGTGAATTCGTTTTTTCTAATTTATCAATTTTTTTGTTTGCCATGTCCACCTGCTGGCTGATGGAATGATGATAGTATTGTGTATTTGTGTTAGTTTAATACAAATACAGATACTTTTATTTGTCACATATAATATGGATACTTATGTAAAATATTTGAATTGCCGATCTTTTATACGATATTATCCAGTTATTGTCTTGAAATACAGTATCGTTGATAATGGTGTTGTGGTAATTCAATAATTATAAATTCTTAACTTCTAAATGTCGATACTTAGTGTCGTCTAGATGAACGTCTCGATTTTTTATTTTATGGACATTTGAAGCTAGACTGAACCAATAATAAGTATGGTATTGTGTTATAAATAGTGACTTGCATTCAATTTTGATACATGACACAAAGAAATCCACGCATATACGTTCAAAATAATTTATCAAAGTTTTCAATTTCTAATTAATATCATCATTAGGGGGCGAGAGGGAATGATTTACAATTGGATAAATTTAAAATCTATAATCTTAGAATTCATTACTCAATGCAATGGCAACTAACCCTTAGAGCTCTTTTGAGGAGAATGTGTCATACAAAAGTGCACTAAAATGATCCATGATCGAGCAAATTCATTTCCTAACTAAGTAGATCATCATGTAAAAAAATAGATAAAATGGAAAAAAGATAAATGGATGAGATAGACTTGACATTCGTAATTGTTTTTCTGTCATTTGCCATTAAATTTCATATTTTAGATCAACTGACGCAAAGTATACAATCAAAATACAATAAGCACATCCACCAAATCATTTTTTCTGGACAAGAATACATCATTTTTTGTTAGGATCGCCGAATAGGTAGCCTAACGAGGACCCTCCTCCTGGAGCAGCATGAACCTTGGTCGTCGGTCGGTCCTATATCACGAACAAGTCAACACCCCAAAACAAACGTTAAGAACAGTAATCTGGTAATCAAAGAGATTAATCAATCAATTTTTTTGTAATATCGTTACTTACCGTAATGAAGTTGCCACAATTCTGACCTTCAGACCTATAGTAGTTGTTTTTCAAGTGACCAGGTTGGGTCGAAGGTGCTTCTTCGACTTCCCACTTGATTGGGCTGCTACTGAATTCTTTTCGACGAGCCACTGGGCTTATTGTAGTTTCCTCCTTTTTGGTAGTAGGTGGTGGTTGGGCCGGAGGTGCTTCTTGGACGTCCCACTTGATTGGGCTGCTACTGTTTTCTTTCCGACGAGCCACTGGGCTTCTTGTAGTTTCTTCCTTTTTGGTAGTAGGTGGTGGTGGTGGGGAACTATTGGAGCTAGAGGAAGAGTTGTTGCTCCGGCTCCGGCCAGCTCCCTCGGACTCGGAACCAAACAAGTATCCCAAAGAACTCCGACCGCCGCCATAGCTCACTCCACGGCCCATGTTTTTCCTTCTGATCAATTTTGTGTTATGGAATTAGTCACATTGCGATTAAATATGTAAACTGCATGCTTGGCATAATTAGCGCAATCGCTTGTGTAATCAATCATCAAGTTCAAGCCTAGTAGCTATCTTATATGTGGTTTAGCAGCTGAAACATAATCACCCACGGATTAATACAATAAATGTTTTTTTTTTAAATTACATCATGATATCGAATATACTTGAATTTCAATATACTTTCCTTTCGCATGTTAATTAAGTTAAATTTTATCTTCTCTAAAAATATAGATATCTTTATCGAACTTTGATTAACCTCAAACAAAAATATTGAGCATATAATGTATGAAATTCTAAAGCAAAACTTCTTGCAACAATAAATTATGAGCTCCTTTTTGGAAGTTGGATAATAGATCAAATCCAATAAATCTTCCAACCACGAGAAATGAAGTTCATGTGTTCACAGAAAAAAATATATATATTATGAGATGCAATCAAATATAGGGGAACACAATTTTCTTATGACAAAAAGGTGAAAAACACATAGAGATTTTTCAAAGAACATGAGATTTCAAATATTTTAAATATACAAAAATGATTGTTTTAAGCAATTGTTAGCACATGTACCTTTTCTTCCTTTTGTTGGGTTTCCAATATTCCCCCAAGAATGGGAGAAAAGATGAGGAAAGGGCAAAAAGCTAGCCTTCTTGGATTTACTAGTTTATACAAAGCACTAAATGAGCATTGGCAACAAATAGCCAGCCAATTAAGTCTCCATTTTAATTAAGATTTGAACAAGTCAAAGAGATTGAATGGTTGGCTGACCTTTAAAGTTGAAGTACAATTGATAACCTTTATGTATAACTTCATATTTTTATATGATAATTAAATTAAATTATATTAAAATATTTGTAGTCTAGCATATAATATTATTTGTTCTACTTATACTCTTATATCTCTAATGCCTTTTTGTTCGACGTTCGCCATCTATTAGATTCATCTATGATGAATATCTCTCTTCCGAAAATTCGAGCTCGAATACGGCTTCTAGAGACAAGATTGTGGAGCTACTTCATCAACCATTGTCGCTCTGTTGTTGCATTTGCACATATGAGCATCGTTTGGGAAGAATATTTTGTAAGTTGTTGAAATACTTGATAGTCCTTGTAGAACTTCCCAACACGGTTAGTTGTTCCTCAATAACTCTACATTCCAGCTTAACTCATTTTCCCATGCTACTTTAGCTTTATTTATTAACAAATAACAATTCTCTCCGTGGATTAGAATACTAAGTGACCCTTCTCTTGCGTTGCCGGAGAAGTTAGGTGAGGAATAAAAACATCTGAATCTATTAATAGTCAGGATTTATAGGGCAAGAACGACAGAGGCTAGTGCATTATTATCATGACTCTGTTGCAACTCCTTACTTTTATATATCTAGTGGCAATCAACAATTTGACACAACATTTCTTTTTAGTAACTGAAATCCCATTCTCATTTCTTGATAAGTATGATCCTTGGAAACATTGCAATGCACCCTAGGCTCTTGCCAAGACCATCATGAAATCTCACTTCAAGTAAACTTAACTACTTCCAGATCCAGAATATGTGACCTAGCCAATATGATGTTATCCACATAAACTAATAAGATTACTATTCTACATCGAACCCACACGATAAATATTTGTGTAATTAGAGGATGGAGTTTGAGAAGGCATTCCATAGGAGTGAGCTAATTAACGTAGCAAACCACTATCCACTATATACCGGTCTACTTAAGCATGTAAAGGGACTTTCTTAACATACAAGCTAAGTCATTTGTATTGCCTTCGATATGAAAATCTTGTGGAACTTGTGTTTAAAATTCCTCCATTAGGTCGTCAACCAAAGGTTGTACTGGAGATATCCCGCTGATAAAGTCCATGTTCAACAACCAATTCGGTTATGAGGGTTTTAACTGAAATAATCTTTGCGTAGGACAGTAGGAAGAACGATATTCAGGTAATCTATCCCATACACTTTGAATGTCTTTACCTATAAACTATAATCCTTTTATCCCCCCAACTTTTATATGGGCTTTGCATGAACAAAATCATCCCCTTGGGGATAGTAAGAAGGGGAACCCTTTTGTAACTGCAAAGTCCCGTGAACAATAACAAATGAAGAACAACCAAAGAAACTGGAGATGGGAAAAAAGAAAAGAAAAGAATAGAAAAGGAGGCGTAAGGATGGGAGAAGAAACATGGGGGCACCATCAACAACTATACATAATGATATGCACATGAGTAACGATGCCCATGGACCCCCCTTTTCTCTAATTTCTTTTTCAAGCTTTATTCATCTTCGAAATCTCTACCAATATCTTGTGCAAAGCTTGAGGCTTTGAGAAGAAAGGTGAATGATCCGCACCTTTCAACCGGAACACCTTCTCCGGCTGACTCGAGCTGATCATGGTTTGTTGTAAGGTGATAGGTATAGCATTGTCTTCTGGAGCTTCGATATAGAACCGTCGCACAGTCCCGTGCTTGGCATCGGAGAGACAGAGTTTCTCCAGGACTGGAGCAAATGGGATCAGCCTCATTGACACGGAGGCTAATGCAATGTCCTGATGAATAGTAGGTGAAAACAATAGTGTCTCAAAATCATAGCACACTAACAGAAAAGAAAGAATGGGCAGAATCAAGAATGTCATACTAACTAAATTCACTTGTTTCGAAGGTTTAGATGTACCTTGGCAGGACTTTGGTTGAATAATAAGTCCCGCAGCAACGACTTATCCAGATCAATGGCAGACGGAGGATGATCTTTCCCATTTGCATAAACAAAAATCTGTGTTTTTTGCATTAGATCATTTCCACCTGACTGGAAAAGCTCCCTTTTATTAGTCGCAGAGTAGCGGAAGCCTAACTAGCATAGACATAGCTTGATGCCTCTAGAAGCAGAGTTTCCTAGATGGCATTGCATAACACATAGCAAATAAGGGTCTTTAAAGTTCAAAGATGGCATACTATCACTGCTATTCTTTTTCTTTGTCTGTTCAAGTTACAAATGTTCAAACAAGTTCATCACCTCCTATTCTAAACTCAATAATGTAACTCGGGGATTACCTGCTTGGAGAACATGTCAAGCATACTTTGTCCATCGACTAACATAGCTGCAGCTAGGAAAATAGCCTTTGAAATTTTGTGTGGAAACAACTCCATTGCATATGAGATGCAAGCACCGCCAAAATCGTGCCCTACCAAGATCACCTGCATAGTTCAGAAAGAATAGCATTATACCTAGGCTATCATCTTACTCAGATCAAAGATGTATCAAGTAAAAGAAATGAAGATATCAAGATATTAAACCAGGAAAACAATTTCAATGAATAACCACATTGACTCAGACAGTTCATTTGAATGAGAGAAATGTAAATAACAGCAATTGGCTTAATACAGATGAAGACTACATATTTGACGACATTTTAAGACATGATCAGAATACAGTAGGAGAAGATACATAACCAATGAGAAAGAAAGAAGAAGCACGAACCTTCTCCTCATCAGCAAGCTTTTCAAGAAAATCAGTAAGCGGCTTCACATACTGAGAGAGACTGGCGATGCCATTAGTATCAAAAGAATGAACCCCAGAACCAGTCAAGTCGACAGCCGTAACTGTGAAACCACTCTCTTCCAGAAGGGCTATGGTTTTGTACCAACACCAAGCACCAAAACCCCCGCCATGTACAAGGACAAAATGTTTTGTCTCAAGATCATCAAGCTTAATATCCTGTTCAAAATTCTAACAATTCAGCAGGCGCGAAGTACGAAAATCGAAAGATGCTGACATACGGTATAGCACTAAACACCAACTGCCCATGAAACTTTAATCAGCCAGAAAATTAGTGTCCGTGGGGAGAAAATGAAATAAAGTCATGGTGATCAGGCATTGAGCTGTAAATTGAGTTTCTTGGTTGCCCTCTTCACAAGACTTGTGAGGCTTATCTAACTTTCTAGTTAAACCTAGTAGTCCTACTATAAACTGTTGCAGCTGCACATTGATTACTGCCCCAGAAATATTATGAGATACCGTAAGATCAAAAACTATTTCCAGAATCACGGTAGCTATCTGATGTCTGATCACAGGTGAACAAAGTAGCCAACTTTATAGGATCTTGACCTGTAATGTACAGCTTTTTGGTGTAAAACCTTGAGGAAGGCAGCTATGTGTCCTTAACTCCTTATAAAATGCCCATACAACTTTTGCACCTTACCCCAGAAACAAGTTCAATCATCAGTTTATCAGTTATTGACAACAATACAAATGACCAGAGTAGCCATTTTCATCCATTAACTACTTAGCAGAGGGCAATGAACAACAAACTCCTCCAGTTCATTTATTTCATCAATTCTAGTCCTAAGTTCTTTCACATTCAATAGCAAGTTCAGCTGAACCCCACAAACCGAAGAAACAGGGCAGGATGGAATTCAATACACATCTCCCAATTGAACACATCATAGAGAGCTCCATAAAACCCACATCTAACCGTGGCCCGGCACACCTAACTCTCGGCAATAACAAGGTCAACGAAGAGAAAGCGACAAAACAATAGCCTGAAGACAATTACCGATGGCTTCTGCCACCTTCCTCCGAACACAGAAACTCCTCCCAGAAAGAAAGTAAATTAAATTACCTGGTTAACCAATTGGTGAGGCTGCAACAAAGGGTCCGTAAGTGACCGAGCTCTCGAGCTAGCGCTTCGGGGCAACGGGTTCTTCTTCGACCCGGCATTACTATTCGGGTACCTGTGCGAAACAGAACGGTCAAACGCCGTCGCCGTTGCCCCGGCACCGTTCTGCTGCCTGAACATCAGAGCTGCCGCCAGAGCCTGCTCCTGGATTAAGGAATCATTACTGTCTTTTCTAGCGGATCGGACCCTCGTCCACCGGTTGGAAGCGGTTTGGGATGAGGAATTGGCCGGGAGACGCTTAACCGATCGTCCCCTTTTCACCGCCGGCTTGGGGGCGAAGCAAGTGCACAAGTTACCCATTTCTCACGGCGACATAAAGTTGAAGAATTTGGCAATTGGTGAAGGTTTTGGGGCGGCGGTGGCTGGTGGGAGTTTCCTGAGAAATGTGGAACTTTCTTTCTACAACTATATAATGGTCTGTGAGAGTATCGTGTGAAATTGGCGAGGAAGGGAAGGAAAGAAGACGTTGCTATGCTGCTGGAAAGCTACCTTTTTAGAGAGGAAAAAAGAAACGGTTTCATTTCAGGCGAATATATTTGACTCGGCGACTCGCTTTGGATTGATGGCTTGAAGGAGAAGGTCCCAAGGGAATCAAACGATTAATTAATTATAGGATTTAATGTTGGTCTATTTATTTGATTATTGCAAGCATTTTCCAACACAAATGGATGCCTAGTATTTAATTTTAAAGTTAATCTTAATGGTTGAATCATTGTGAAAGCTAAATTTTTGAGAATTTTGCTTGGTCTAGTTGGTTCAAGAGGGGAGGATTACAAAAACATTTATATAATTCTGAATATAAACTCGACGATGAGATACTCCAGTTGGTTCAACATATCAATTGATATGATAAATTTACAACATACTATCTAATCCACAAAGTACGAATCGACTCTAAGTCATTATACTCTTAATTCTTCATATTTTATCATGATTCATTAACTAATGCACAATGATATAAGGACCCAAGATTCTGATTGATTAAAAATACATGAATGGGTCGTTTGGATGCAGCATTTTGATGAGTTATTTCGGCCAAAATAACTCATTTGGCAAAATAGAACTAAATGTGGTATTTTGTAAGGGGTAAAATACCCAGGGTACCACTAAAGTATGATAATTGGGGGGAGCTATATTACCTAAGTAAGAATAGGGCATCGTGTGCCACTGAACTTTATTATATGTGCACCCGGTACCACTAAAGTTTACTGTCAAATGCATTTTTTTAAAGTTGACAGAATAATTTTGAAATATTCTGTTTTCTAAATTTTAGAATTGGTCATTCTATTTTTTGTTATTGTAAAAAATCTTTTGGACTTATGAAAAACATTATTTTTTATTGTTTAGTTGGAATAATCTTCTCGAATACTCTGTTTTATACCAAACCAATTTTTCAATAAGAAATTTAGAATCAATTATCATTATAAGTATTTTCAATTATCATTATGTGTTCTAATAATTGAATTATTTCCTTAAGAAAATATTTCCTATGAATTCTGTCTCGATATAAATAATATGAGTATGCTATATTTAGTTCTCTTACATCATGTTGATCTTGTATAATTTTCTATATTAAATCTCTTTGTAATTCTCTAATATTATGTAGATGTTTCATATTAGTTAAATTTACTAATTTTAATTCTCTTCTTATATTCATATTTTCTTTTTTAGATTTATTACTAAATGTTGTAGCTTTTATAGTTTACATAGATCTTCTTTGGTTTTGATGTATTGATGGTCAATTAGGTTATATTTTAACTATATTTTGTGGTGCTTCTAATTGTATTAGGTGTTTAAATAGATCTTCTAGCATATTTATTATTCCTTCATGATATTTGCTTATTATTTTTACTAATTTATCTATTTTATTGAAAAAGTTCCATTAATCATCTAGTAATACTATGTTTAAAAGGTTCCCTAATTTTTATATTAGATAATACTCACATCTAAATTAATAGTCACATCTCTGTGTTTAGTAATAGTACTCGTGAGTAGTTCACTGTGTATTGCTAGAGTAGTGGACACTTAAATTTATATCTTTAGCTGATAGTTTGTGAGGAAGAGAGAAAAGCCAGGTTTTGTTCTTATATACTTTGATTAATCTTGCATTTAGTTGGATTAACAAATATTTATATATCGTCTTCATCTTGAATATCTTCGACTTCTCTGGTCTTGTTCTCTATTTTTTGTAGTGCTCTATTTTGTAGGAACACTTAGCTTGAAGGCGGGAAGCATATATTGAAGAATTTTCTTGTTTGAAGAAGACAGGTCGTGAGAGTTTTAGACCTGACTGGTGGACCGAGAAATTTCACATAAAGCAAATAAATTATTGAAAGTCCAGTGATCCAGTGAATGCGATTTTTGTTAGAATTAATATTAATTATTTCTCCAGTTGACTGAATCAAATTAATTACCTGCAGCATTATAATTAGGCAGTACAGTAAACACACCTCTTGTAAGGGATTTCAACCTTGTGTGTATTTCATTATGTAAGAGTGTATATTTATACAAGTACAGAGAGACAGAATACAAGAGGGAGAAGGACAACGAATACAAATCCTATACAACCTAGGATTTCTCCCTAATACGCCCCCGCAAGATGGAGGCAGCGTCAGCGAGTCCAATCTTGCAGCCCAAGAGTCGGAAGCGTGTAACCGGAAGAGCTTTAGTCAGCAGATCCGCGAGCTGAGACGCAGTGGGAAGGTAGCGAACCAGAAGCTGCCTGGAGTTGACAAGCTGACGGACGAAGTGATAATCCAGTGCCAAATGTTTCATGCGGGAGTGGAATACCGGATTAGAGCTGAAGTTGACGGCACCGAGATTATCACAGTAGAGAGTAGGAGCAGCAGGAAGCGAGTAGTGAAGTTCAGCAAGGAGATTCTGTATCCAAATAGTCTCAGAAGTGGCCAGAGCTAGAGCTCTGTATTCGGCTTCTGTGCTGGAGCGAGCGACCGTGCGCTGTTTCTTGGACTTCCACGAAATAAGAGTGTCACCGAGGTAGATTAGGAACCCTGATGTGGACGTCCGATCATCAACATCACCTGCCCAGTCAGAGTCAGAGAAAACTCGAAGGGAAAGAGGGGTCGACTGTCGAGCAATGTGGATTCCCAGTGAGCGAGTACCAGCAATGAAGCGAAGGAGCCTCTTGACATGCTGCCAGTGGGTGAAGGTCGGGGCATGCATGTACTGGGACAACTTGTTGACAGCAAAGGCAATGTCAGGCCGCGTAGTGACGAGGTACTGGAGAGCACCAACAACTTGCCGATAGAGAGTGGCATCGGACGGGGCTGAGCCGTCGTTGAGGGTGAGACGGGTAGTCGATGCTAGAGGAGTCGAGGCCGGTTTTGCTTCATGCATTTGGAACCGAGTGAGGATATCGTTGACATACTTGTGTTGAGACAAGATGCAGCCCGACGACGTGGGAATGACCTCAATCCCAAGGAAAAAATGAACATGACCAAGATGCTTCAAGGAAAACCGATCCGAGAGCTGGGCTTGAAAGGCCGTGAGGAAGGCCTCATTGTTGCCAGTGAGGAGCAAGTCATCAACGTACATGAGGAAATAAGCTAGTATACCACCATGCGAGTACACAAACAATGACGCATCGGAGCACGTCTTCACAAAGCCACAGGACAGGAGGAACTTACTGAGAGCATCATACCAGGCGCGCGGTGCTTGACGAAGGCCGTAGATAGCTTTGCGAAGACGACACACATGGTCAGGGAACTGAGGATCACGAAACCCAGGCGGTTGTGTCATGTAAACCTCTTCCTGAAGTGGTCCTTGAAGAAATGCATTGTTGACATCATACTAAAAGATCGGCCATTTAGAGGACAGCGCTAGTGTAAAGACTGTACGAACAGTCACCGGCTTGAGAACAGGGCTGAAGGTCTCATGAAAATCCACTCCAGCCCGTTGATGGAACCCTTTCGCGACAAGGCGACACTTGTGACGTTCGATGGAGCCGTCAGAGAGAAACTTGACCCGATATAGCCATTTGTTGCCGATCACGTTATAGTGAGGGAGGCGGGGAACCAGATCCCAGGTGTGGTTGGCGATGAGGGCATCATTTTCAGCATGTAGAGCTCGGCACCAGACATCATGTTTCATGGCCTCCTTGATGGAGGTCGGCTCAAGCGGAGTAGTAGCCTGCAAGGAAGTAGCATAAGCATACTTGGGGTTAGGTTTAAATATGTTATTCTGGCCACGAGTCCGCATGGGGTGCCGCACTGGTGAAGACGGAGGGGGCGGTGGTGGAGTTGAGCCGCCCGTCGACGAGTCCGAGGGGGACAGGGATGGTGTCGCCGGTGTGGTCGAAGACAATGGTGAGTGTTCCGTGTGAGAGGGACTAGGGGGCGGCGTCGCTGGCCTGGGAACTGGGAGTGGAGGTGACGACCTGCAAGGTAGAAGAGTAACAACAGGGGACGTGGCAGTGAGCCACGATGTTGAGGAAGTCTCGGCTGACACGGAGGGAAGTGAGGATTGAACACCAGGAAGTTGAGACTCAACAAAAAGAACATGACGAGAGACGTAGACTCGATTAGTTTGTGGATCTAGACACCTATAAGCACTCTGTTGGTGTGAGTAGCCAAGGAATACACATGGGCGGGATCGGGGTTGGAGTTTATGAGAATTATAGGGACGCAACCAGGGGTAGCACAAGCAACCGAAGACCCGAAGTTTGGAGTAATTAGGGGACTCATTGAACAGAGAAGTGAACGGGATTTGACCTCGGAGAGCGGACGAGGGAAGCCGATTGATGAGATACACGGCTGTAGTAAAGGCATAGGACCAATATGAGAGGGGAAGGCGAGCTTGATGGAGAAGGGTGATGCCGGTTTCCACAATATGGTGGTGTTTGCGCTCGGACAGCCCATTATGTTGGGGGGTGTACGGTGGAGTAAGAAGATGAGCGATCCCATTTTGAACAAGGGCAGGTTTGAGCTTTAGAAATTCGCCCCCTCCATCGGTATAGAGGCGACGGATGGTAGTGGAAAAGAAGTTCTCAATGAGGGTTTTGAATGCAATGAAGACGGACAAAACATCGGACTTACGTTTGAGAGGATAGATCCAAGTATACCTTGTAAAATGATCGACAATAACTAGATAATAGGAATAACCATCTATAGACTCGACAGGGGCAGGACCCCAGACATCAGAAAACAACAGATCAAAGGGCCGAGTACTTGACAAACTAGAATCACCGAAAGGAAGCTTATGACTTTTGTTCGACAGACACGAATTACAATGGGTAAGAGACTTAGACGAATGTGGTAACGACTGAGTGCGAAGGAGACGAAGTAGAGACTTGGAGGACGGGTGACCAAGACGACGATGCCATGAGTCAGGCGAGTGACTAGTGGTGACTAGAGCTACACGAACAGCAGCAGACTGATGGGGAAGCTCGTACGTGTCACCTTTGTTCCTTCCGGTCAGCAGGCGCGCCCCCGTTCTTAGATCCTTCACAATGAACAAATCAGCAAAGAATTCAACAGACACCGGGTTAGTGCGACAAAGTTTAGCAACAGATATAAGACGATGCTTGATGGCAGGTACACATAGAACATCACGTAAAGTGAGAGTCTTGGGTGGTGCTAAAAGAGACGATGAGCCAATGTGAGTTATCCGCAAACCTGAACCATCACCCAAGTAGATTTCATCCGGTCCGTTGTAATCAGAGTAGAGAGAGAGATTGCCGAGGTTGTTGGTGACGTGATGTGTAGCTGCGGAGTCCATGAGCCAGCCACCGTTGGTCGCAGAAGATGGAGCAGTAGGAGGGTGGGAGGTGTAGTTGGCCTGCGGCGGACGTTTGTGGGGAAAGAGTTGGAAGCAATTCTTGGCGACATGACCAGGCTTGTCACAAAATTGACAGTAGATTCGCGGCCTGCTGCGGGAGTTATCGTCATCACTGGGAGGAGAGTCCCATGACGGAGACGAGCCAGAGGAAGGAGCCGAGCCTGGGGAGGAGGAAGAGCTGCGACCAGCTCCGCGTCCAGATCCGCGACCAGGTCCACGTCCGCGGCCGCGACCGCGTTGAGTGGCATAGGCAGTCGCTGGGTGTTCAGCAGAGGGGCGAATGGCCTTGAGGTCACTCTCAAGGGCCTGCAGACGATCGAGGAGGTCCTCCAGTTTAGGTGCAACATCACGAGCCCGAATCCCGGCGGCGAATTCGCTGTATTCGGGTCCAAGTCCGCGGAGACAAACGGTGACGAGCTCCTCGTCACGAATAATTTCACCGGCTAGGGCTAGTTCAGAGGCGCGAGACCGAAGAGCCTGAATGTAGGTGGCGATGTCCCGGTCACCGCGTCGTTCGCCAAGGAGGCGATCTCGCAGAGTCATAATGCGAGAGTACGAGGTACCAGCATAGGTACGTTGAAGAGTGTCCCATGCTTCACGTGATGTGCGCGCAGCCGCAATGAAAGGGCAGAGTTCTGCCGTGACCGAGGCAAAGATGCCGTTGAGGAGAAGTTTGTCCTGTCGGAACCAGTGAGTGTAGGCCGGATTCCGAGTAGAGACACCATCGACGAGGATGGTTTCAGCTGGTGGAGCGACGGTGCCATCGAGATAGCCGACAAGGTCAAGGCCATAGAGGAGGGAAAACAGCTGTGCTCGCCAGGATGGGAAGTTGGTGGCGGTGAGTTTGAGAGGAAGGGACGCAGCTGGATTGAACGTGACCAGCTGTAGATCGGCGGCGGCGACAGCAGAGGCTCCAGCAGCAACAGTGGAGGAGTCATCAGCAAACTCAGACATGGCGAAGGGCTAGCCAGCCAGCAAGAACGAAAAAAAATTTAGGGTTTGGAACGGTGCTCTGATACCATGTAAGGGATTTCAACCTTGTGTGTATTTCATTATGTAAGAGTGTATATTTATACAAGTACAGAGAGACAGAATACAAGAGGGAGAAGGACAACGAATACAAATCCTATACAACCTAGGATTTCTCCCTAATACCTCTCAGGATACTTTGAGGCACTTTCATAGTAGTGCTAGTTTCTTCTCCTCTATGTAGCATGTGACCATGGTGGAGGGAAAAAGGCGGTACCCGATCGAACTCTATACATGCCTAAGCTTTGATTATAATCTAAATCTACACTTATTAAAGAAAAAAAAACTTTCAAAGAGGACCACACTTTAGGTTTGGTACTTTACAGAACCTATATATACTAGACATTCACGATCAGAGCACTAATGTATTTTTTTTTACCAAACCTGCATATATTGTCCTAACGTTCATTAATATTAGAATGTCCCAAACCTGTTACTGCTAGTTGGATTTCACGATCCATGACTATTGAATCGCTCTAGATTCTAGAACTTCTTAACCCTGATAGGTAATAAAATCGTACCCTAATTTCACGAGTTCTCGACAACACACATAAAGCGCGGACGAGAATAGACACCAAGTAGTTGTGGTGGAAAATGTGAGCAGCAAAAGCTAAAGAGCCGACGTTATTTTTTTTAAATCCATGATTCTGCCTGCACATGCTTCAAGTCTCCAACTTGGGCCTGGCCGGAAACTTCCCTTTCAGATTAATCTTCTTCAGCGTGCTTGATTTGATCCTCTTTTTAATTCGCAGATTAAGAAACATGTATATGTGTCGGTTTGATGTACATTCTGATCTACATATATGTGGTCCACTCCCGGCGTTTTGATGTACTACAAGTCTGCAACCACAATTGATTTGTTGATGTACTCAAGTCTGCAATTTGTTGTTTGTTGCTGGTTTCCATCAAACGAAGTGGGCAGTCACTGGTGGTGGCTGGTCGATGACAGTATAATAAAGCCTGGCCGGCCATCATTTACTTGATGCACTCGAGTAGTTAGCAGGAAGATAGCTAAACAAAAGAAATGGAATTCATTGTTTAATTATTGTTTTGTCAAGTAAAAGTCAACTAGATCTGCACAAACCCATCGTACATTTTAATTTTAATTCATGAATGACATTAAAAATAATTGTAACGATTCAATCAGGTTAAACAAAGATTGACACTTCTCAGTAGTTACCACATAAAAAACAATTTATTAGTTCATGTAAAAAAGAATTTCGAACATAAATCTTATTAGGTAGAGAATGTGGCTGCATACAGATTACAAATTACAAATGATACTGTGAAATAGTTGATCAATGCCGTTTCATTATGATCAAAGATGGTTTTGTGCCATTATACTTCAAGCTTTGTCTTTTATCACTTTTGACTTCATCCGGAGTTGATTATTACACCGGCAAATAACCCAATTGAGAGCATTGAATTTAGTATATAAGCAGTTTGCGAAGTATATATGAGGCTTCAGATTCAAAGTATTCACATCACACCAAATCTCAGTAGCTAGCCGCTGAATCCTTTTGTGGAACCACCATTCGATTGTGGGTTTCAGCGTCGGCGCCGATGTCAGAATTTCTCAGTTTACTTACTATTCCGCAACGGTGCCGTCGCCGGCGCGGATGTGGCGTTCCTGCTCCCTCCGACAGTGGTGCGGGAAATTATGTATGTTGCCTTTCACATAAACAAGCGACGGGTTTATGTACTATTATATATTGGTTTATTCTTGGATGGAACCACATCGGCCAACCTGCATATATTTGCCGTGTTAAAAATAGCGACCAGCGTTGAGAATTCATTGCTGGGCTCGGTATCTGGGCTTGTAATCCTAGTGGAGGCAATAAAGTGATGCTGGACATTGGGTTAACCCGAACAAATGCTTCGAGCTCTGTAACTAGGATGCTCCTCCGCCGGCCCGGCCTAGCCGGACAACCGGTTGGAAGGCCCTTTGAGTTCGATGACAAGGGTTAGGCAAAGTTGCACCTTCACTTTTGAACCTCATAAATAAGGAATTTATACATGACTTTATACTACATACAACAACAACTTGCTGCACTTGAAATGTCTTTGGTTCTTTTTTTCAATCGGAAATTTTTTTACCGTCAATAAGTAATCAGTCATTATGGGAATGGTCACAACTCACAAATGGGTCATAATTGTTTTAGTAGTTCGAGTGATTTCCCCGGTTAATTGGTTGCCTCGCTTAAAAATATTCAACTTATTTCTGGCGGTTATGTAAGTTAACCGAGTTGAATTTGTGTTCGGTTGTAAAATTCACCTTTCCTAATGACCAGCCTGGTCCAGCCTTAATAATAGTGTTTATAGTACACATAACCTTGCTCAACGACATGCATCATTTTTATATACTAGTGAAATGAGTGGGAATGATCGAACAAAATGTCCATTACTAGTAAGTTAATAATTTGAGGGATGATATTAACACGTTCACGAGTAAAATGAAGTCTTTATAATATTTAACACCCATCAAAAACTTTTATCAGATGAGTCCAACTTTACTAACACGTATCATAACAATAACATTGCTTTAACTTTTCTACAAACTTAGCTTAGTAGCTATAGCAATGGATGAAATCAGCTTAGGAAGTATGTTATCCTCGATCTACCCATATCAATCATCTACCTATTTTAATTTGAATTATTTGTCGCTGGATCGATATCATGCCTCTAATTCTATTAGTTGCTCAGAAATCTGATCAATCCAAATCCTTAGCCCATCAGTTCCAGCCCAAAACCCGCACATCTTTACCGCACCATCTTCCCAGCCCACAAGATGTCCCAACAACCACACCCAAACCCAAACCCAATCCATCGTCCCTCACCTGTCCTAGTCTCCTTCGTCTTCTCCCCTTCTGTTCTCTCTTTAAACGGAAAGACCTCGCTTTATTCTCTTCGACCTCACCAGTTCAGAAATCTCTTTCATCTCCGATCCTCCCTTCCTGTCGCCGTCCGTTTCTTCTGCCTTCTGCTGAATTGAGCTGCCTTCCGATTTCCTTCTTTCCCTATTCCTTCTGCCGGAGAAAAGGACCTTCCCAATTGAGAAGTAACGACCGAGAAAAGAGGGAGGCGGGAGTCAAAGGGAATCCACTGTGGTGCGTCAAGGCGAGGACTTTGATTTACCCTACACGATGGCGGCGACCTCCAAGCTACAAGCTCTCTGGAATCACCCTGCTGGACCCAAAACAAGTCAGTTCCGCTCTTCCCTGTTGGCCTCTTGTGTTTTAATGTTTTATCATCCCATCCTTTATCCCTGAACTGGATCAGGTAGAATTAGATTTCTAGTTTCTTATCCAAGTATATCAATGGATGAAATCAGCTCAGGAAGTGTGTAATCCAGGTGGGTTCGGCCACTGCTGGCTGGACCTCTTTCTGGGTAGTTGGTTCCCCCATTGGTCCATGGGGGAAAAGGGGAATTATCCCAGCTGTATATGTCAGAATTGCATCGATGGTTAAATATGAAGGGGCATTCAATTATACTTCTATGGGTTCCTGTTACTTTGCTTTGACTTCGTTGATCAGAGTCTCTGGCCTTTGCAGTAACTTACCTTTGTTTGTGGTTTTGACAGTCCACTTTTGGGCTCCAACGTTCAAATGGGGGATCAGCATTGCAAATATTGCCGACTTTGCTAAACCTCCTGAGAAACTTTCGTATCCTCAGCAGATAGGTATACAACTCTGCTCATCACTATGCTATACTTCTTCCTCTAATAGGTTTACTATCATTCGTCGGAAACTAACATGAAATGGGTTGACTTTGCTTGCTCTCACTTGTGTTCTGCATATTTTTCCAGCTGTAACATGTACTGGAATCATATGGTCTCGCTACAGCACAGTTATCACTCCGGTGAGTTTATCCATGGCACCTCCAGGAGGACTTAGTGCGAAATACTGCTTCCGAAGTTCTGTTATGTGCATTCTATTTATTTGTTTGTTTGTTTCACTGCTGTGATTTGTTTATCTTCTTTTATGTATTGCCATTTGCCAGCGGATTATAACTTCGTTTGATTGGGTTGATTTGCATTGAAAATAACCTTAAGCAGTGGAAGTTTTCAGTATGCTTCATTGGTTTGATTTGCATTGAAAATAACCTTAAGCAGCGGAAGTTTTCAGTATGCTTCATTGTTTCCCAGAAAGCAAAGACATGATTCTAAACCAAACAGCATTAACATGATTTTGTTTTGCCACTGTCTTAGTAGTTGGTACTTCCTTCATCATCTCAGAATTCTTCTGTATTTTCAGAAAAACTGGAATCTGTTTAGCGTAAATGTGGCAATGGCTGGAACAGGCATATATCAGCTATCGCGTAAATTACGGTAAGTTTATGGCTCAGCCTGCCTTCTGATGGAAAAGTTGGCTAAAATGCTGCATTCCCTTTTTCATAGCTTAACTTCTGTGGTTATACACTCGGAAGTACTGATCAAGAACTGGCTCCTATCCTTCAATCATTTGATCTTGGCCATTTCACATTTTCAGGCATGATTACTTTTCTGAAGCAGAGCCTTCCCTTGCTGAAGAGTAACGATGAAACTTGGCCGTATGTGGTTGTGCAGCCTCAGGCCAATGATGCCCTGTTATTGGTTGTGTACCAAAGATATCAAATTCTGTAATTTATTTTTCCAGTTTAAGAGTGGGTTGCAAAGTTTAATAAGTTCTTTTTTTTGGGTGGTTTGAGAATATCAATCTTCATTTGTTGCAATTTCTGTTTAACAAATCTGTGTCCTCTGGTGGAAATAAACCATTATGGTGATATTATGGGTTGAGTTCATATATATCCTAATGAACTGATGGGGTTTCCTCCTTCGTAGCCAAGTAACCATCAGTGTTTAGTATTGCAATGAAACTAGACGAGAGAACGGCTCATAATATTGAATTTGAACATGACGGATCCAAACAAAAAGATCATTTAAAATAAAACTAGCTAACCGGCTTGTGCTTCAGAGCAAGGCGGCCTTCCATAAGAAACGTACTGAGGGCACCAGCATTGAAGCAATGGTTACTGAACAGAACGCAGTACAGATGAAACAGCATGCAGAGACCCCGTGATCACTACGACACCCGGCCTCTTCTTCCCTGCACTTGTTCTTCGTCCGAGAATACCCCCGGCAGCTTGCACAGCAACTGCCAGTGATTTCTCTGCTACCAAATGAGTTGAGCTTTCCATTGATTCTCTCATGGCAGAGCTGCACATTTGGTGGTGCTCTTCAGGCACTATATCCTGGACGGATTTTATGCCTACTTCCTTACAAGCTTGAAGCCATTGGTCTCTCAGCCACTCCGCTGATGTTGTACGAGATTTTCCTCCAGCAATCTCAGCTTCTGTTAAGAACACAGCAGCCAATCTTCTAGCTGGGGGAGAGAAAAGTGCAACAGGAGTGCAAACCGGCAGTTAAAGAACTTGAAGCTGAAGGAGAATCATAATAGTCAGACAATGTAACTTCTCTTGGGTTACAATGTACCTGAGAGAATTTCTTTGGCGAATGCTACATGGTTTTTGTCTCTGGCCATTGCAACAATGAAGGCCAGTTCAGCATCAGGAAATGCCATCTGTATCGTATCCATCAAAGACTTGGCTGATTCCTTGGTGTGAGCTGGCAGAAAAAGCATTTGCTGAGTTATTGATTATACTACTTGAATCACTGCCGAGTCCACTGGAGCATACGCACAAACATCAGAATGGACTTTCAAGCTTTCAACCAAAGTGCTGCAGTTTCAGGCTTGACAGAGAAGCTTTATGTCGAATATAACAAACAGCACAAAGGACTGACCTCCATCAACAAGTATCGTTGTGCCGTGTAGCCCTAACGCATCAGCTTCCTTGGATGATAGAAACTGACTTCTTCCAAGTAAATGTGTATTCTCCAGACCAGACATAATTGATTTATCTGAAACCTGCCACCCTAAAATGTACATCAAACACATAAATAAGTGGAGGAGATTAACAGTATTTACCGTAACCTGCATTCAGAAGCAGAGTTAATTTTACCACAACTTGAATAACAATAATTCCAGTCTTAATCATGAAGTTAATCCCTCAAATCATCTGAAAGCAACAACCTTGATTACGGAGGCACAGTATGGTACATGCAGCAGTCACGGCATTTTGAAGCTGGTGCTCTCCGAGCATTTGCAAGTGGACATCTGATAACTCTAGGGACTGCATGGATCAAAAGTACAAGCTTGCCAAGATAACTAACCAAAACAGTGAAAGTCTATCTTTGAAGGTGCCAAGTATTCATACTAAAAGAAACTACAGCAGAAGAGCATACTAGCTGAAGATCTCCCTGAGCTTGTATCACGAGATCGTTGACTTGGCAGGGTCTACAGTCCAACATGCTGAGGCCTTTAATGCTGGACCTGGTTCCAGCATCAGATGCTGATACCACTGGTGAGTACATCAGTGATGTTCTATCACGAATAATCTGCTCTATATGTGGTAGAAACGGGCCACCAAGCACCGTCTGAGAAAATCAAACACTCAGAAAGAGAGGACAACAACTGAAAATCCTCATGCATAAAGTCCACTTGAGGATCATTTTAACACAAGGAGTGGAGAATTCACCTAACTGGGACACCGTGTTTAATGATTCCTGCCTTAGCCATTGCAATGCTCTCCAGAGAACCTCCCAGTGCATCCAAATGCTCCTCACCAATTGTTGTAATGACTGATGCTGCAAGCTCAGAGCTTGAAAGGATGTTTGTTGCATCCCGAGCACCTCCTAAACCAGCCTGTGACATTTCAAAACCGAAATTAAACTTCTTGTGCCACCATCGTCTAACCATTGCCACACAACAAATTGTGAAAATTGAACAAACCTCAATCACAGCAATATCTGATTTCTCCTCAGCAAACAACGCAAATGCAGTGGCTGTGAGAATCTGACGACCAATTAATCACCCAAACGAGTCAGAAATCCGAGCAGGAAGACAGAACAACAAATAATTTAGCGAAACTTCACAACCTCAAAATGAGTCAGCAGTCCATTTTCTAGCTGAACAGCTTCATCAAGCTGCCCTTTTATCTTATGGAAGAGGCAATTCAAAGATTTTGATGCCACTGGATCACCAGATTTCCCAACTGTCATCCTTTCCCTTATACTCATAATGTGCGGACTGCGAATCGTTAACCAACATCACCAATCAGAAAAAGGCAATTCAGAATCGACACCGGGCGAAGAATACATCAGCTGTTGAGCTGAAATTGCACCTTACCTAGTATAACAACCAACGGAATAGCCTTGTGCTCGTAGAATGTTGGAAACAAAAGCTGCTGTGGATCCTTTCCCTTTAGTTCCAGCAATGTGAACGACCTATTATTAAAGACATTCGTCAAATTCCGTTCTGATGTTTTCTGCATTTCTAGAGGTAGTTAAATCTAGCGAGAGATCCAGAAAAAAAGAGAAAAGTTCCAACCTTGAACTTGGATTGAGGATCACCAAGGCGGGTCATGAGCCGGCGCATTCTGCCCAGGTCGAGCCCATCATCGGAATCGGTACCGGCGTCCTTGGGAACCCCCGATTTCTCGTAATTGGTGAGTGAATCAAGATAGTCGCTGAAGTCCTTGAGCTCCTCCGGCTCTTCTCTGCAAGTGGCAAAGAACTGCTTCCACCCCAAAAACATCTCCAAGCTCGGATTCGATCCGCCATTGGAGCAACGTTGAGCTCGTCTCCTGCTCGTTTGCGCCAGGAACTGGGCAGCAAAAAGGTTCGGAAATCTCATTTCCTGAATTCCCGTTTGTTTCTCAAGAAACCTTGGGCCTTATATTCCACTGAAACGGCGCCGTCTCCCTTGTTGACTCTTGCTATTTATTGGGGTTACCTGGTTACAGAATACAGAGGCATGCCCGCATTGCGGCATTGGGCAGTTAAAAAGGACAAATCAGAGGATTCTTGTTACAGTGTCGGATTCATTCTATTCTATTCTACTTTCGGAATCGCGGGTGCGTGCGTCGTTACAGTTCCTGAAATTGTTTGGCTTTCCAGATTTGGGGAAGTGAAGGGAATCACAAAGGTCAGGGCTTGTAAACCTCAAGCGCAAGCGACACACACTCATTTCCCAAATTCTAACCAATCAAGGAAAAGGAACACAAAGAGAGCAAACAGCCGCCGCACGGAAAGCCGTCGTCACCCCTATTCCCCCCCAGCAAAGCAATATTAATTCCTTCCTCTTTAAGGAAGGCAGGTGGGATCCCAATTTAAACCCAATAACATCCTTCCAACTTCCCATTTCGAGTTCGTGCTTTCTGTGTGGGGTTGCTCTGTCCTCGGCCTTTCTTCGACGCTGGAGGTAAAAAGCCCTTATCTTTGCTTTAGAATTGTATCGACTTGTGTACTTAACTAGTTAACTTCTCTATGCCATTGATATATGGATTCGGTTTCTTTCCCCAATCGAGTAATCCGCTTTCAGCGCGTTATTTTGGATTAAAGCAAATCCAGCTTCGCCTCTGCTATTGCCTCGTAGATCCAGTCTGCAATATGAAATTTGGAAGTCTTGCTGATCTGATTTTCGATGTAAAGTTTCAACCTTTATGGTCCGCCTGGTAAATGGTTGACCAGGAAGCTGATTTTCTTGCCACCATCGTTGTTTCGTTCTTATTTTTTCCTTGAGATCGTTGCCTTGTGCCTTGAACGTCAAATTCCCTGTTAGCCCAAGCCAAGCCAATCCTAGGATGGGATTTTGGACTTGGTCATGAACAGAACTAGAGTGGCTGTTTAACTTTGATTTGAATTCACTTGGTGGGTTGATTCCAATGGAAACCTTAAAGGTCTGTTATGTACTGCCTTCCAATAACAGTGTGATTGATTGCAATTCGTTTGTTGTTTTTCCTTGATGCAGAAAGTATATTAGAGTTTGGCAGCCTGATTACATTATCAGCTAAGACGCGCAGAGTTTATGTTTGAGAACTGAAATAATAGCTGTTGATTCTTTAAACAGTAGATATGGAAACAGTTAACGATGAGTTAGAAATAAGTCATGTTGTGGTAGAAAGGAAGGAAACACCAACGAATCCGGAAAATGTTGATAGTACTAGTGCTACTGAAAAGGTCGAAGCAGGCAGCCTGCCTATTTGTGATATAAATAAAAGTATCTCGGCTGTAAGTTTCTCTGATGACATTGGGGACAGTGGAACAGCAGTCACTGCAACTACGAGCAGTGTCGATGGTTCTGAAGAAACCATCATGTTTCCATTTTATGTAAGGTTTCCTTCACAATGTTCTAGGAGGAAGAAGCTGCTTATTCTTGATTTGAATGGGCTTCTTGTCGATGTAGTAACTTGTCCTCCAAAGGATCGTACTCCAGACAAACGGGTTGGAATTCGATCATGTGAGTATCAGTCAAGTCCTAGATTGTATTTGTGTGTTGTTGAAGAATACAAATGCTGTTGTACTTTCAGCTTCATCTAATTGCAATGCTTTCTTTTTCTTGTATCAGTTTTTGTGAGGCCAGGTTATCTGGATTTTCTCAATTTCTGCTATCAAAGATTTGAAGTAGCTGTCTGGTCATCAAGAACAAGGCATGTCCAACGCATATTCAGCTCCTTAGTACTTACTTCCCTGTTAATGTTCACTGTTTCGATGGTAATTTTTTTCATCAATTTAACATTCTGCAGAAAGAACATCAATATCCTGATTGATTACTTGTTTGGAGATATGAAGAACCGTTTGTTATTTTGTTGGGTGAGTGTTGTTGAAGATATCATTCTCACTCTTGTGTTCAGGGTTACCTCGTATACCAAATCTAATTTGCCTTGTTTTAGCGTTGACCTGAAATTGGCATTGAAAAGCTTTAAGTACTTAACCATTTAGTACTTTCCATTTAACTGATGGTATGATGTTCTTCTCTCAGGATCTGTCCCATTGCACAACAACACAGTTCAAGACATTAGAGAACAAGCACAAACCTCTGGTGTTCAAAGAACTGACGAAGGTTTGGAATAAAGAGGACCCTCAACTTCCATGGGAGAAAGGGTACTTCAATGAATCAAACACGTTGTTAGTGGATGATTCTCCTTACAAAGCATTACTTAACCCTGTAAGTTGAATAGAATTCTTCATGTTTACTGCCAACCACTTATTATGAATTGATAATCGATGCCTCTATATTCCTTGATGCTTATTTCCTTTGTGGCGCTTTATAAAATGACAACACAGATTAACTCTGGCATCCATCCTCATCCCTACAGTTATGAGGATCTCAAAGATAACTCACTAGGTAAGTTGCAGATCAACTTTGTATTGAAATGTTGATTAGCTTGCTGTTAAGTTGTAACCGAATCGAAATGAATGGCAGGTACTGATGGTGACTTGAGAGTATATCTTGAACAGTTATCTGAAGCGGTGAATGTACAGAAGTTTGTTGAGACAAACCCATTTGGTCAAAAGGCTATTGCTGAAGGGAATGCAGAATGGAGCTTTTACCATGAAGTTATAAGCACATTGTATCCTTCTCGAGTTGAAGGCGGAAAATACGTATCTTCGGTGTTAACTTGATGGAAGAAAGCCCTGTAGGTCGGGTAGGAAAGTAGCCAAGCATTTTCCTCCAGTCATTTGAATATAGACAAACCCGTGATTGAATATAGTTGAATGACAACTGCAAGGAAGAGACCTGCAATTTCTTCTCAAGAGTTATTTGGGGAGGGAGTTTGTTATTTACTTATTTTAGTTAGTTTCAGGCTTCAGTTTACTTTGCTTTTGGAGAAAACAAAAAAGACTAGGCTAGAAGTTGCATATAGGTCTTTTAGTGGGGGAATTCAACATGGCAACATGGTTTGTTGAATGTGTCTCTACTAGCTATTGGGTTTAGCTATTTTCCATCACACGATAAATGATAAACCTGTTTGTTTTTTATTGTATCATCGAGGGTTCCATGATGAGCAGCAACAATGACTTAACTCCTATTTTCACGAATAATCACGTAAAGTGGTAAATGATTGATCACATGGATGAAGTTTACTCGCAGAGAATTAAACTTTTGCCCTAATGATTAAAGGATGAGACACTAAGCCACATAAAACGGAAAATGATTGGTCATAAGCGAAGTTATTAGATTGGTTCAGATTGTTATGCTAACGAAGTATTTTATTGACAATTGCTAAGTGGTACGGTATGATTAGTGGTACAATCGACTATGCCGGTTTTAATAGAATATATAGAAAAAGTAGAAAATAATTAACACAAAATGAATTAGTTAGAAAAATGCAATTAAGAGAGTTAATTCACATAAAGTCATTTATATTCAGGAATTAGTAACTCAAATAAACAAATAGAAAAGTAAATAATATGTATAAAATGAATTTTATTAATGTTTACAATGACCATTTATGTAAAATCTAGTTTAAATCGTTCAATATTTAAGGTTAATATGTATCACAAAATTCTATGTGGCGGCCTATAGGTGTACAATAGAAAGGAGTGAACATGAGCCCCATGTTGGTGTACATTTTTGGAAGATGTTTGTGAAAGTGTTGGAATCTAGCTATCTAGTCAGATCGACCAATTTTTTTGATTTTGATAGAAGATGTAAATCGATCCCTTTTTCGTCTCGTTTGGTGACTCATACCGATAGTACTCGACAACTGTATTTGACAACCATGGTCACAAGTTGAGCTCCATTTGTATTGATGAGAACCAAATCCTCTCTTATATGTAACACCCTACCATGTACGTATTACCTAATCATATTGTTCATGCATTTACAGCCGAAATAATCTCGGGTGTTACATTAATTACCAAAATTTACCCAAATAAAATTTTCGACATGAAATACTCGCATAATGGGCTAACAGTTCTTGCAACTAGACCTACAAAATAATTTATACGAATACATGCATTCATAGACATACATATATACTCACAAGTCACAACCATATACATTGGCTTTCGTAGCCATACTCACATTTTTCATACTCCACAACTGCATACCATACTTATACATGCCATAATCATCACAACTACACAATTACACAAATATACACATATCATCAACCTTCCACACCTGTGGATATCTCACACTACATCAGAAGCTAGTATGCACATGAAAAACGTTCTCAAGACATTTTTACAAAAAAGGTGTGGATCACTGGCCAAAATCCCCAGTAGTAGTCAAAGCACATAATAGTTGAAGACCATACCTCATCTTGACTTCAACTCTAACTCCTCTCCCACCTAACACTTATCTACTGCTGCTGCTGATGATCTGCTTGCATATAGCATAAGCAGAGAAGAAGAATAAAAGAGGGCCGACTCATAGCTGAGTGAGATAATCATCGCATAGTGAGTTCATAACAGGCATACCTATACCATACATCTAACAATCACGCCAAAACACTACGATGAGACCTCAACCATCTGACATCCCAATAGGCAAAAGACTCAACCATTTTGGCTTATGCATATGCATCTTATCATGTTTTAATCATAGGCGCCTGGCTACTACCATGCTAATTACTCTCCCGGGAATACGGACAAAACATCTCGTGGATGTGGTCATATCGGACCCACCACTGTCGGTATAGTCATATCGGACCTGACACCACTCTAGGTGTGGTCACATCGGACTCAACACCACTCTGGGTGTGGTCATATCTCATGATGAAAATCAACGGTCAACACCACATCAGGGGTGTGACATAACATATCATAACGAATTAATAGCATGGGGGAGCCCTAATTAATATGTAATTGACCATGAGACCAAATCACATAATTGGCTCAACATAGGTAAAACAGGAGTCGTATAATTGCACTTCCTCGAGATAACTTTCGTGCAAGTCATCCTCCTAAAACATCAAAATATCACCATGGGATATACATTTCCCCACTTGTACATCCAAATACATCAATCATGAAAAATCATACCCAATCACCTTCTCGAACAATCATAAGGCATATCAACAGTCAAGCCCACAATTTGCGACGGGAGGGTTTTTTTTTCTCCGTTGCTGCTTCACTCCGTGGTGGAAAAAGGAAATGGCGGCCGGTTTGATAAAAAGTGAGGGGAGGGATTTTGTTTAGTGGAGGCTCGCACTTTGTTTGCTTTTTTTTAATAAATAATGTAATAATAATAATAATATTAAAGAACGATACAATCAACATTCACACCACATTCATAGTTGAAATCCCTAGATTTATGAGGAATTCCAAAATAAATTGGGCCGCAATGGAGAAGTGTAAATGTTTGGACCTAGCAATGACAAAAACGTATTACTCTCTTAGCTAAATGGAGATCACCATGGACTAATTTCATGAACCTTATAATTTTATTAGAAACGACCCATACATAGTTCAGACTAGTGACAACGACACAACATTTTTTAACGTATGTACATTATGTATGGCATCCCAAAACCGCCGGAGTCGGCCAAAACTTCCCGGTTAGTCCCACACAGTATTTGGTGACCAGTCATATCACCAAAAGTGACGCCGAAATACCCTCGTTGATTGTCCAAATTCTAATTGACAATCATATGCATAATAATCTACATACTATGGACTTTGGGATGTGATGCATATTGTCACATCGTTAAACGCCGGCATTCTGAAGGCCGCCACAACAAGTTGAGATTATGGGAGCTGGGATGTGACGGATTGTTATAAACTGATTTGCTTTCTTATTTTCAATGGTTGAACAAGTACATTCCTCATTTTTACGCGAGAGTGGAGGTTTGTATTTAATGAGATTAAGTTGAAAACGCTTACAATTTTAGAACTCGAACATTGAACAAACATTACGTATTATAAACTAACAACAAACAACAATAAATACTGGAAAAATTCTTACACATTTACGGAATTCATAAAATTGGAAAAGTGAAAAGAATTAATATTGACTAAAGGGAAATAAGATGACACGTAACTGAGTGTACACAGTGTATGAATTGAACATGGGGATGGTGGCATTGTGATAAAAAGGCACCCAAACTCATTCCTCAACCGTTCCCATCTTTTTCGTGTGTGCATATTTCTCATACACGTCCTAGGTTAGTACGAGAATTGTATTCACACATTGAATCGATTAAAATTTCATTTCCATAATTGTGAATTATCATGCCAACAGTGGATGGAATTTATTGAATTACCGTATTTAGAATTATTATTGATTGTCATATAAAAAAAAGTTATTATTGAATCATCGGTTAGGTAATTGCATTTAATTAGTTATAGTTAATTCCTACAAAAAAAAAAAAGATAATAGTTGGGGTAGGTTGGGAGACAACGTTTTCAGATCGACCTTTGGCCTCTCTATTTATACTTTTACCTTTACAAGGGTGTATTACTAGTTACTGTCATAATCGGGGAGCTCAATTAGTACGATATTGTCCGTATTGGATCAAATTCGTACGAATTTATTCTTGGGTGTCCTCCCAAAAAGGTCTCGTACTAATTAGGATAGGTGAACACTTATATACAAAGGTTCTTTCACTTGTATTTCCGATGTGATACTTGGATTGTCCCATTTTACTATATAGAAAACCTCTCAGAAAATCATGCCTACAAAAATGAAACTCTCATTTGGAGTACGCACCGATTCAGTCATGCATGTGTGAAATGTGAGCAAATTTGCAATGATCAGAGACGTAAACGTGTATACGTTACACCGACCACCTTAGCCTCCCCAAATCCTGACCATATACAAACCAACCATACATAAATCCTTACCATAGAATACAGCAGAGAGACTTCTCCATCATCGGCGTGCATGGAAATTAATTGAGTTTGGCGCTTCTTATCATTATTGGGCTATAAAGCAGCAAGCTCACAGTGCACTTCGTTTTCGACGACGGCGACGACTGACATAAGAAGGCCGGGGGGAAAAAAAAGAACAGAAGGAAGAAGTTGGAATACGTTTCCTTTGAAGACAGACCCACCACCGACGCCGACTTCCACCCCCGCCTGCCTTAATTAGCTTTTTGCCCTCCAAAGAATTTCGTTATTTTTGTGTTCTGTTCATCAGTCCCTTAGCTCCGAAAGGGGGATAATCCCAATGAAAACTATCCCATTTTTTGGTTTTATTCCCCCACATGCATATCGCTTTGCAGTGACGACTCACATGATATATGTGTGGTCCTATCCAAAAAGAGAGCATCGTATCGATACGATGAAAAACTTGTAACGTTTGAATTTATTATTTACAGGCATGTCATTTTTAATGCACGGTTTTTCTGTTCATTAGTGACAAACTTGTCTCGTCTAATGATGTAATCTGGTTCACTATGATCATAATTAAATTATTTCAAGAGATGAACAGTTAGATCCAAACCACCCATTGAACAAAAACATGGGAATGAGATTGGATACTAACTCCTTCGAGGGTTAGTACCATGCTAACTTTCTTTCTAGACCCTGGATTGAAATAATAATCCAAGAGTCATAATTAATTGAAGGTTATTCTGTCAATTACTTAATTAAAATCTCTAAACCCTAATCTTATGATGGATGTCGTCGCGAGACACGGCCGACCGAATCTGATGAAGTGGTAAGATCTGCTTGGACTTTGTCACCAGGATTGCAGCCGTAATGGAACGAGACAGAGAGCCCGGATGGACGAATCTGATAATGGCGTCGCAGATAGAGAGGGAGGGAATCGACGGGCTGCGGTTGAAAAAAATTTCCGGATCTGTTCCATCTTTGTTTCTGATCAGATAAAATTGGAAAAACGGCCGACGAAGTTTGAAAGGGGGGAAGCCCCTTTTGGTTTATTCGGCACCAGGGAAAGTTTCCATTACATGAGTATTGGTAGCTATTTTTAGGTAGTTATTTTGATTGTTCATTGATTTGTTGACCATTCGTAGAGTTTTGCTTATTGGTGATAGTGGATTTTTAGTAGTGTTTTGTACCTGTAAACATTAGTATGTAGTGATTCTCACTTACAAATCGCCTATTACTATTAATTAAAAAATCATTAAATCACTACTATAGACCTTCAAAATCACTACTATAAATAACGAATTCACTGGTATAGATCTTCAAAATCACTACTAATTTAAGTAGTAATGAATTTAGTAGTAATTGTTTGGTAGAAAATAACTAATAAAAACGGAGAGAGAAAGTTTATTTTAGATTTTAATTGATTTATTATTTTTTGAAATACCTAACTAGCCCTTGATTACCCGCCACCGTCAGATTCAACTTTAAATAATGAACGGTGACTAGAATACTCCCTAAAACATGAGAACATTATCAACGACTACGAATCCATTTGCAAATTACTTCTCTCTATTATAATGTGAATAACGCTTTCATCAACTAGGGATGGCAAAAATATCCGTAACCGTGGATATTCACCCGAACCCGGCCTAAACGGGTAGGGCAAAACCCGAACCCGAATGACATTTAGTGGGTACGGGTAAAACCCGAACCCGAATATTGCGGGTAATGGGTGGGCATGGGTTTCTCACTATCCAACCCGAACCCGCCCGATTATACACATACATATGTATTTTGTCTATAAATAATCATTATATTTCTCTAACATATTTTATATTTAGCATATAAATATAATATTTTCATGAAATTGTGCTGTTTTAATTAATTTTCTTCATTCTAATGAATTATTGTCATACTTTTCCTCTTAATTAATGTGAGAATACGTGTGAATGTTAACATATTGACTGGAGTTATGAAGAGAAATCATTACCCATGGATAACCGTGGATACCCGAAACTCGAACGGGTATGGGCATGGTTTTAATTTTCTACCCGTTTCACATGTGGGTATGAGTATGGGTAAAACCCGAACTACTTTGAGTAGGGTAACGGATATACACTATCCGTCCCCGACTCGACCCATTGCCATCCCTATCATCAACCATGCTACATTTATTCTTTATCCATACGACAATCCAACTCGATGGGCTATTTCACGCATGTAAGTTGACAAAGCTAAGTTTCACAAAACACCAAATTTGGGCGATTGATGATTTGTTGACAAAACAGGAATTGGGTTTGGCGTTAGTTGGAGTAAACACAAGGGAAAAGTGGCCGGAGGGAGAAGGGCGACCAGACCAGACCACAGCTAGATAGCAACAGGACAATGATTGCCTGAAACATGCGTGAAAGAAAGAACTCTGAACAAGGCCGGCCGGGGAAAGAAAAAATAACAAAAGGGGGCAAAGGGAGAGTGTGTACTTCTTTACTTTGATGATAAGATGTGAATGTGGAGTCCCCACTTTCACTAGTAGTCGAAGAAGAAGAAGAAGAAGAAGAAGAAGAAGAAGAAGGTAGATGGATGGAATGGGGGAGAGGGTGGGTTCAAATTGCATGGACACCACTAAATTTTGTGATCATTGACTAATTGGTCATTGGATTTAAGAAGATAAAAAAACAACAACAATAGAGTGACTAGCTACTTTTATCTCGGTTGTTTTAATATTGCTACCTGAACAGTGTGTAAACTCACCATAATCATAGTGACAAGTCCGTAGAAGGATCAATTAGGGTGGTTTTATGTAATCTGGGCGTGAATAACGTTGAGTACTAAGTGTTAAAACCAATCGTATATTTCAGTTAAGTATGATCTATATTTTCTTTTAATTACTATCTATTTACATGAGTTAATTTGTACATCTAATAAAGAAGGATCATGCAACTTTTATTTTAGTCATCCCATAACAGGGATGGCAATGAATTCATGTGAAGATGATTTTCTTGTACTTAATTATTGTTGAACCACAGTTCTGTATAATAGTAAACATCCACTTATAAGAAAGTTGACAGTGATATGGGGTAAATGCCACATTTGTTACTGGAATTACTAAATCGTGTTATGTTTAGTCACTAGAAAAAATTAATATCAAATTTGTTCACTCTAATTACTAAAACATGTCACATTTAGTCACTCTCCCGTCGGCCTCCGTCCAACTCCAATCACTCGAACTACTTTTTTTTTTTAATGAAGGTCACTCGAATTACTGTTACATGTCACATTTAGTCACTCTTCGTTAGCCTCCATCCACAGAGTTGGACAAAAACTAACGGGAGAGTGACTAAATGTGTCATGTTTCAGTAATTCGAGTGACCAAAATTGATATTAATTTTTTCTAGTGACTAAAAATGACATGATTTAGTAATCTCAGTGACCAAATGTGACATTTACCCAAGTGATATGATATGACATATATACCAAATCCTACTTGTATTCGTCGGTGAAAACCTATGCACGCTATTACCTAAACAATTATATTTTACATTATCAATATGATTTAACATGATTTTCTAAGAATGTTGGTTTGACGATTGCGAATTTCATCGAGTCTTGAGTATTTACGGATCATAGTGACTATTAGTGATTAATTAAAGAATGACTTTGATTATCCAATGGTTTGAAATGATTAAAATTCGGGATCCCTTTAATCCTGGAGAGATATGAATGATCTAGAGTTAGAGGTGGCAACGGGGCGGATCGGGGCCGGGTACCCTGGATCCGTTGCCCACCCACCATGGGCCTCGGGTATCCCCGTCCCCGGCCCAAACGGATATTCGGGCCATGTTGGGCAACCATCCCAAAACCCAATGGGTATTCGGGTGCCCGCGGGTCCACTGTACCCGCTAAAACATGAACAGAAAATTGAAAATATTCTGGAAAACTGGACTCTTCTCACTGTATTATTAATAACTTATCTGTCAAAGACTCAAAAGGACTTGAAATGAAAAACAAAAAGCTTGCCGCCAAGCTGCAATTGTTGCCACTACAACAGCAGCTCAGCAACAACAACCAAAAACAAACATTTATTTCGTGTATCACTGATAGAAATTATCAAATCAACCAAACAACCAACAAGTATCAGAGACTCTGAATTCTAAATGTCTAATTCTTAAGAAAAAACTGTAGAATGAAATGTGTTCCAAGCAACAGCAGCGCAGCAACATTCCATCTAGGTTCCAGCAACATCGAATCATTGAGCAATCTGCAATCATCCACCCGACCACCCCTGACCCTCATTCCAATCGATGTAAACCAGCAGTCTAGCAGACATCAATTGAAACTGTGTAAAGAACATACAAGAGGAATGAATCAGTTAGTAAATGTCCTAAAGAACATCAATTGAAATGGTGTAAAGAACAACAAATAAAGAAGACCTTTACCTTGGTCCCACAGCAGATTACCAATCAGTCTTCATGGGCAAATGGTGATCTCATTAAGGTTAGTTCTGGATCTGAAAAAACGAATCAATGCAAAGGTAAGTATTCCTAAATGAACTAATAGAAATTAGAACACAATGGAAAAATGATCTTACCACCAGGTTCTGCCTCTTCCACAGTAGTATCTTCGACTGTCATTGTTGAGAAGAGTCCATCCAATGCCTCCACAGCAGCCTCCGAATCTGCAGAGAACCAGTTCAATGAGTACATACTGTTGTTAAACGTAAAACAATAAATTAGAGAGTTTTAGTTGCAAGTTACCTCGTTGCATGTCCTCCATTATCCAACTCCTAGTACACATCATTGCCTCAACAGTCGAATAATGCAGCCTGCTCCGGTGAGGGTCTAACAACCTCCCACCAGAACTAAATGCACTCTCAGAAGGCACAGAAGTAATAGGGATTGCCAGAAAGTCCCTTGCAATTGATTGCAAGGTCGGATACTTCAAACCATTCAATTTCCACCACAAGAGCAGATCAAACTCTGCTGTGCGAGGAATGATATCCTCAGCAAGATACATATCCAACTCAGTTGTAATCAAGGAAGTCTTACTCTTTTTCCTTTGACTTACAAAGAGTTCAAAGTCAAGTTCAGTGGCAGAAGCAGATCCAGAACCAGAAGAAGCAGTTCCAGTTTGAGAACCAGATTTGTTCTCAGCTTTGGTTTGATAATCACGAATCAAACCACATATCATTTGCTTGATATTCTCAGCAACCAAATCAGTTTCTGTATTCCCAAACTTTCCAGCATAGTATTCAATCACATGGAGTTTATATCTAGGATCCAAAACAACCGATACAGCAAGCACAAGATGTATATCATCCCAATACTTATCAAACTTCATGGACATTTGGCTAGCCATTCCAAATATCACAGGATTGGGATCAACACCCCACTCATTCAGTTTAAGTCTGAGATCACAAATCTTGGGGAAAAACAGATTGGCAGTGGGGTATTTGGAACCAGAGAACAACTCAGTAATCTCAGAAAAGATTTCCAGCTTCCCAATCACAGTAGAAGCAAATTCCCATTGTTCACTAGAAGGAACTGATGTGTAATGATTGTCTCTCAAACTCAAACGAAAGAACACATCCTTGTAGGGAATAGCAACAGAGAGCATATGATAGGTGGAATTCCACCTAGTTGGACAATCAAGGACTAATTTTCTCTCAACAGACAGCTTAAGTTGCTTAGCAACTTCGAAGAAGGTTTGAACCCTCTTAGGTGTAGAATTCCAGTAAACTACACTCTCCCTAATCAAATTTATAGCATCCTTGATTGCATCCAAACCATCCCTTACAATCAAATTCAGAATATGAGCAGAACACCTCATATGAACCAATTTACCATCAAGCAACAAGTCACTGCTCAGAAGCTTATTTCTCATGTGGAAAATCATGGAATCATTGGTGGTACAGTTGTCCAATGTGATTGAGGACAACTTACCATCAATGTTCCAATCCAAAAGACAATCAAACAACCTATCAGCAAGCCTTTCACTAGTGTGAGGGGCTGGAACATACATAAATCTCAGCATTATGTTACGCAGCTTCCAAGAATTATCAATGAAGTGACCAGTTACTGCCATATAACCCCTTTTCTGATTTCTGGCAGTCCACAAATCAGTTGTAACAGAAACCCTCCCCAGATTACCATCAATAATGGTCTGATATTTACCTCTTTCAACACCAAACAAACTCAAAATGTCCTTTTTGACAGTGTTTCTACTAGGAACAGCGAATTGAGGTTGAAGAGAACAGCAAAAACGTTTGAAACCCACATGATCAACAAGGCTAAGGGGGTACTCATAGACCAGAATCATTGAACAAAGTTCCTTCCTAGAAACCTCATAATTGTATTGAGAAGCAGAGAGTTGAGGATTTCCAGCAGGTTTATAGTTAGGGCCAAGTATTTTTTGAGAACCATCATGTATCCTCTTTTGGATACATGTTTTGATATGGCTTCTTAGGTGTGAAGTTCCATTACTTGTTTCCCCACCAAGGGATTTACGGCAGTACTTACACCTAGCCTTCATAACCCCATTAACCCTAACTCGGTTGAAGTGAGGCCACACATCAGAGGTTAACTTACGTTGAGCTTCAAGCTCCTCAACATTACCAGGTTGTTCAGGTTGAGGTTGGACAGGTTGTTCAGGTTGGACAGGTTGTTCAGGGACATTGACATTGGGAGCAAGGTCAACATTAATAGCAGTAGGAGCAGCTTCCATCTGAACATAAAAAATTTATGTATTACTACTTAAGCACCAGTTAAGCCTTAGTTTTTATTTATTAACTTAGTTACATTCACATTTCACAATGACAAGACTACACTTGCAAACAAAAATCTTTAGCATCAAAATCACGATTACAGTTTCATTAATTTTACTTATTAGCATTACTTATCCACTGATTGTCACAACAAGTCGCAGCATTATAATCAAACAGACAAACACAGTGAGTTGAGGCTTAGGAGAGGAGGACGGGATTACCTTCTCGATTGTAGTTTTTATGTGGACTGTCGAGTACCCAATGACAGTAGACTGACCCTCACTGCTCACTGAAGTGCTCACTGACTCTGTTCCACTTCAGTTCTCGAAACCAGATCCAACCTAGACCAAAAACAAGAGTGAACAATTACAACGAACACAAAGCAAGTTAGAACTTAGAAGTTAGAACTGCAATTCTGCAAATGAATGCATGCATGTCTGTATTGACACGACTAACCCATAAATTAATAAAAAGTATAGACGAGACCAAGCAACTTACCCTCGATGACTGGACTCTGTTCCACTTCAGTTCTCGGAACCAGATCCAACCTAGGCCAAACAAGAGTGAACAATTACAAAGAAAACAAAGCAAGTTAGAACTTAGAAGTTAGAACTGCAAATGAATGCATGCATGTCTGTATTGACACCACTAGTATACACGAGAGACCAAGCAACTTACCCTCGATGAACAAGCTGTCTGGACTCTGGAGGCTCGGCTAAATCCCTCGATCTCTGCTCTCTCACTCTCTGTGGACTCGACTGGGGTGGTCTTCTTCTCGATTTCAGAAGATGGCGTGGTGAGAAACGACCCCGCCGCTCTGAATCCCCCCTATATATACCAGTAGAAGAAGAGTTAGTATAGAGTTGGGGGAACGGGGAATCAGGGAAGATAGGTGAAAGAAAAGAAAGCAACCCAGAATTAACTTATCTTTTCGACTCGAAGAATCCGCGATTTGAACTTCGAACGCCTCATTTTTGGACTGCGGCCGACGAAATCTTCGTCGGATGGTTGCTCTTCGCCTCTTCCAGCCATGCAATTGGTCGAATGGAGGAATTGATGAGGGGGAATGGCGAAAAATCGGCCAGATCGCGATTATCTAGCGATCTGATCCCGAATCGCTACAGAGGAGGCAGAGAGATTGAGAGGAAGAAGGAAACTAGGGTTTCCGTTTTTGGTGAAGAATGAAAAGTGAGGCGGCAGCTAGGGTTTCTCAAGGGAAAGTGGAGAATATATACTTCCTTCCAAACGGCGTCGTATTTAGCACGGGTAACCCGTCGGTCGGGTCGCGGGGCGGATACTGGACGAACCATCACCGCCCGAAACCCACTGTTGACGGATAACGGGTTAACCGCCACCCGTTGACGGGCCCAAAAAACCAACCATTCAAGGCCCTTATCGGGCGGGCTTCGGGCGGATGCCCGCTTTTGGGCCCCGGCCTGCCAAGCCTATCTAGAGTGAAAGTATACATAAAGTGAGCAGGTTTTCTCTATAAAAAAAGTATAAATAAAGTGTAAGATCATATAGTTAACAATACAAAAATTTACATCAAATTCATTACTCTCTTTTCAGGTTCGCGAAAAAACTCACCTAAAAAACAGTAAAAATTTCACCATAAAAAAATTATTCATCCTTATAGCAACTCCGTTGACAAATTTGTCAGAAACTAAAGTTTAACAATCAGTTTGTGAGTGAGTCCAAGTTTTAGTGACCATTTATACAATTAGCACGGATGGGAGGAATACTCTATAGTCCACGTGGCACCACGGATGCCATTGCTTTTTTCCTTCATAAGGAGTGCCGTGGAGGATGGTCGGTTCGATTCCGGCATCTTCTCTCCCTCTTTCCTCAAATCAAAGCATCACCACTACTCTCCCTCTCTCTGCAGCCATTTTTTTGCTGAAATTCAACCAAATCCCAGCAACCAAATCCTCCCCCCCTGCTCACCAGCTATTTCCCTCAATAAATTCATAGCCCAACCATACCCATCCTTTGTTAGCTCGCTGGCAAAGGCAGCTGCACCAACAGGAAGAGCCCCTAAGGTTTTTCTCCCACTTCCTTCCCATTACAACTTCCTCCATAAAATTCCTTCTTCGATCTAAACGTTCGAATTCAGAGTGTTGTGGATGTTATAGCCCGGCCCCAATTTATAATTACCAGTGGTGGTAGCTAGTAATAAAAAGTTGGGAAACAAGGCGGTGATGAATGATGATGAGAAGAACAACAACACCATCAATATTCACAGCAGCAAGGCAATTGGTTCATCATCATCAACAAGCAACAATAGTTCTGCTACCACGACGACAACAACGACATGGTTGAGGCAGAAAGATCCGCGGATAGTGAGGGTGTGCAAGGCGCTGGGAGGGAAAGACAGGCACAGCAAAGTCTGCACCATCAGAGGGCTGAGGGACCGGAGGGTTCGGCTCTCGGTCCCCACCGCCATCCAATTGTACGACCTCCAAGACAGGCTGGGCCTCACCCAGCCCAGCAAGGCCGTCGACTGGCTCCTCAACGCCGCGAAATCCGAGATCGACGAGCTCCCTCCTCTCCCCATCTCCCCCTCCCAGTTCTGCCTCAACCCCAACAACACCAACACGATGATCAATTGGGCCGAGATTTCGCAACATCAGCAACAACAGCTGTGGTGGAGTAGCATCGCAGGCGGTGCTACTCCACCAACCAACAACATCGTCCAGACGGCTGAAATTTTCAGCCGTCGGGACGATGATATAGAAGAGGACGAAGAAAATCGAGACATTAATGAAGTTCATGATCAACAAGGATCTTATGATAGTCTCCAGGCTCAGGCTCAGGCTCAGGCTCAAAATCCGAACAACGTGACAACTATGTTCAATTTGGGAAGTGGAAACCAAGGGTTTGGAGGATCCCAAACAAAAGACGATCATCCTCATCATCACCACTATCACCAACACCAACAACTAGTTCATCATCTTCATCATCACCAGCACCAAAAGGAGAACATGGAGATGTCGGCGCCGTTGTCCTTATCCAACAACACTTACTACCCTCAACATCATTTAGCAGCTGCTGCGGCGGCGAGGGAGAACCACGGGAGTAGTAACCAGATGCTGATGAGCAGTAGCAGTGGTAGTGCCGCTGAGGCGGCGGCGGCCTACTTCAATATAGATCATCATCACAACCGTAGTTCACCGGTGGTCATGCCGTTTAATCAGCTCACCGAGCTTAGTATGATGAGCTCCAGATTTTCCCACTCTCATCATCGGCAACCGTCTTCGTCGGACGATGACCGGCGTGGCGGTGGACAGGAGTTCCAGCCCTCGCCCAAATGACGACGTACTGTACTATATAACTACCACCGATTGAAGTCAATGAATGCTAGGTAGCTAGCTAGCTCTGCAAGTGACGGCGAAAGATGAGGGGAAGGCTAGCTAGGCTTTTGGTTATGTGATGAAAGGTACAAATTAGTTAATTCTCAACAGTCACATCGTCTGCTAATTAATTGTCTTAAATTTGTTCAGACAGTGTTTTACAGCTTTTTTTCCTTCCTGTCAAGAAACGAACCCTTATGTGTTCTTAATTATATCCGTGTGTTGGTGTTTCCCCCCCCCCCCCCCCCCCCCCCAAGTTTGAGATGAATTCCTTTTCATTCAACAATGAGATTTTAATTGAATTGGACTCGATTGGGTTAAATATGTTCCTCTCCTCTCGTCTATGGGGTTTATATTCACTACATCTTCTTTTTTATTCCTAAAAAAATGCTTGTAATAGTTGGCAAAGGCTAGCATATATACACCATGTGAAATATAGACATGCGTTCTTACATACTATATGTAGTTTTGATCAATAAGAATCGACGATTAATTTGTATACTAAATTTATCGTATAGTTTGAGTAACGTTATTGTCCAAATTTCAGTTAAGAATGTGTTCTTACTACATTTTTAGAAGAATTAACATTAGGGGTTCGTCCATTAAATATTAGAGTATAATGTTATTGTACAAATTTCAGTTAATTCATTATCTAAGTAGCAAAACTCCACAGACGTATAGTAAGATTAGCATAGGCCAAACGTACGATAAGTTGAACTTGAATGACTTGTATAAACTCCAAGTAAGAGTTATGCTTGGGCTCTGGTTGACCAATTTGATCGTTTGTTCTAGCCAGATGTACGATAACTTGAACTTGAATGACTTGTGTAAACTCCAAGTTAGAGCTACTTGGACTCTGTGGTGGGCAAATTTGATGAATTAATTGTTCCGATGACATGATAGATTGATTTGGTGACTAGTTAACATATCTGTTGTACAACATATATGTTAACTAGTGTCATAAAAAAGTCTCATCCTACATATCAATCAAAGGAAAGTAGTTACTATGGTTATAATAAAGAACGGTAGGGGTTCGTCCAAGTATCTACCGTTCTTCTTTGAAATTTGTACAACAGATATGTTAACTAGTGTTATAAAAAAGTATAACAAAGATGAAATATTTCACTAATATTATATTAAAAACATATTCTAGAGGATTTATAATTACAAGCTCGTCCTACATATCAATCAAAGGAAACTAGTTACTATGGTTTAAGTATCTCCATCATCATAATTCTCCAATTGTGAGTCTATTATTTTATCCAAAACAAGCCCTTACTACATGGCTGGACAACAAAAATATAAAGAATGGTAGATAGTTGCAACCGGACTCCTGATGAAAGAGGCTATTTTGTCACGAAGTAGGCGGCTCTATTGATTAAAACTCTGAGAAGCAAAATGACACGAAACTGATCTATGAGGTGAGAAGAGATAAATAAGAACTTTTATTAGAATGAACCCGTCTCTCGAATGGAAAGACTTCCTCTTTGAAACATCTCTTATGCCCAGTTGAGAATTTTCCTAAAAGAACAAATCCAAACATTATAAATGAGTCATCATCTAATTATATATATATGGATCGTTTGCGTATGTTGTATTGTTATCATACATCATCATACTATAGTATTATAGAGAGAATGTGAAGTAGTGAATACACATATGAACTATGAAGGGTAGATGAAAAGGGGTTGACAATCATCAATTGGTTAGATAGCCCTTTTTTTTTATGAAACCTCTAACAAATACCAACAAATGCAAACGTCAAAATTACAATTCCAAGTGGTGGTAGACATCTTTGTTTCATACCTCCTCGGCTCCTCCTCATCATTATTATTGTTGTTGTGAGAAACCCTAGCTAGTACAAGCATCTCTTAAGAAGACCCTGTTGGACCCGTAAATATGACATGGCCCAGCTGAAACAGACCCTTTCTCCAAATGGCAATAAAAGACATTTGTTCCTGGGCAAGAGATTCTTCATTCAGATCTCTCACCCATGGTCATGGCGAAGAAGAACATAAGAGGAGTATCAGTCTGACATAATTGAATCGACAATCATAATGACTGGAATTCACCTTAACCATGTCTCATGCGATCCATGCTATCCACATATATGCGGAGGCTATTAATGATCTGATACAGCATTTTCACAACCACGGTCGCAACTGATCAATGATCATTTTGGGTAACACATATATATGATTGATAAACACAACTAATTTAATTGCCTAAGTGATATTAAGATATCTGTACACTAGCAAAGTGATGGAGATCGATGCACAGAAAAGGAATACACTTTCAGATGAGTTGCACCCTCTCCAGCCAGCAAAGCAGAGAGTACTTTTGACTAGAGATACGGCCAAAACAAAAGAAGGCCAACCCTCTATAGACGCAGTGAGTGAATCAAGAGGAGGAAGAAAAGGATCGGAAGCTCCTCTCTTTTCCTTCGATACAGGCCTGCCGCCTGTGGACGACGTTTAGCTGAGCCCTGACGATCGATAATGATGATGATGAAGGGTAGCAGAAGGTAGATAGATGGATAGATTTATACATCCAGCAGCTACTGCTGCTATTAAATCAGACAAAGGCTGACAGCCAAAACATGCTAAAAGAAAACAGATGCGCGTCTCCTTTCTTTAATGTTGTTGTGTAGGCTTTAGCAGCAGCTGTTTGCCTTTTTTACTG